TCAACAGCATGTTACATCTCATGTCGCCGTCTTCGCGGAGATAGAGGCCGGTTCGAGGGACCTCCACCCCAAGTTCTCGTGGCTCCGGCGGTTCACCGGGCAGAGAACCCCCTATCGTCCACTTTTCTCGGATTTCCAAGCCCATAGGAGCATATATATGTGTCTGGAGGCCATTTGGAGTGTCATGAAAGCAAGCCTTGTAGCTCACTTTCCCCTTGACCATTCCACCTGGTAGGTAATGGATCTTGTCCGTCAGCTCTTGCCAGGCGCAGTCCAAAAACTCGTCGGCTGGGGCATCTCGGGGGGTCTTGATCGGGTGGTGTTCGATGACAAGCGGGTTCAGCTCGATCATTTCATCGTGGTTGTGAAGCATGGCAATTGCCACCTCGCGCGAGACCTGAGGAGGGAGAGGGGTAATGTTGGTGAAGAGGGTGCGTTTCGGCATGGCGGGCTGGCGGTCAGCTGGCCAGATGGGACTTTTGGTATGGGGACTTGTTTCTCGGTTGCTGTCGATCGAGATGCTTGGTAGATTAGAGACTTTTTCTTCACAGACTTAAAAAGAATGTAATTGTCGAGGATATACAATGAGCAGGACGGGCATTGGCACCTCCAAAGAATTTCGCAACTGGGCCAGGGAGAGAAAGGAGATGATCCGAATTTGAACGGCTCAGCTCAAGACAAGACGCAGATGTGCCTGGGAAGAGCCTAGATCCCGTTAACAGTAAACGACAGTATTGGTAAGGATTCACCTCTAAGAATAGCTAGTGCTTATGACCTTCTGGGTAATTGTGAGGTTGAATAGGCGTGATGGGCTCTGTGGCTGACTGCGACGCACACAGCAACGATCAGCGAGTGGTCAGAGGCAATCCCCAAAGGACCCCCTCAGATCCTTCGCTCCCCCTTCGCTCCAAGTCTCCTGGTCGCTTTGACATGCACTTTTTCGATTAGATCCACGATAGACAGAGGGGCGGAGCATCGAGAAACACCCGCCACCGTTTCGAAAAACCCGGAGTTGCATCGAGCCGCAGCGAGGGGTTTGGGTAACTTGTACTCGGTATGTTCGTGCTGATGGAAAAGGCAATGCGCACAAGCATACCTGTACTCGGGACACACATCCACCAGGATGAAAGGGAGATGCCCATGCGCATGATGGCCGTGCTGTTGCTGCGCTGTGGAGGTGACCAGCGCCACGTGTAGCCATGTTGACCAGTAGCCACCAGCCAGTGAGGGAGGAGCCAAATTGACCATCAAGAATAATAAAATACGACGGAATGAACCTCAATTCGACTGTAGATGGGGGCTTGCTGCGCCGCACCCGAAACTCCCTCACCTACGAGTCCCGCGTACGCGGGTCGAAGTCGTATAATAAAGCCACCTTTTGCTGTTGTGCCACCTTCGCCAATCTTTGGACAGCGTCTTTACTGATACAAAAGGTGGGATCCAGTTCCTTCAACCCCGGTTCATTGTATATTGCCAGTGTCGCAAGCCCGAGATAAGAGTGCAGGAGATCTAAAGGAGGATTAGGAGACGGCCTTGTCTGCAAGGGGGCGGGACCTCGAGACGATGTGAGCACTCACCCGGAAGTTCGCCAGGACCTTTCGCAAATCCTCCGATAACATGGGTGACCTTTCCCAGAAGATATCTCCTCAATGAGTCAACATCCACGAGATGATGCTGTTGCAGGATCTGCTGGATCATCAGTCAAAGCATGTCAAATCTACATACCATCTGGATACACTGACCGCGAGAGCTCCCACATTCCAGAAGCAATAACAAGTGTCTGCGATTTTCCCACAGCGGCCGCAGAAACCGGCAATCGCTTTCTCTGTGACTAAACCAGTGTGTAGACCAGACATGTTTGAGGGCGAGCTTTGTTGGTCTTCGTTGTTGTTATTGGTATCAACTCGTTGTCTAGACTGGTTATCCGTGTCCTCGTCTTCCTCCTCGTCGTCCTCCTCTTCTTCTTCTACCCAAGTTGTCTGTCGATCCAGTATCCACCGAGTACAAACGGTTATGTCGAAGTTGGCTCGTTCCGCCATCTCTTGCATCGACACCGAGGGGTTCTGGAGGAGGGCGAGAAACGAGAGTGTCGCAATGCCACAGTAATTCAGCCCAGCTAACAGCCAAATCAGCAGAATAACAGATGATCAGGGCGGGAAGGGGTTATACAATGAGCTTCGAGAAGAGGAGCTTGACCAATCCCGCCTTCATGAGACTAGAGTAGGAGAATAGATATCAGCCCTGCGTTTTGTCGTTGGGTATCCCACTCAATCCTCACCTGGCAACTGGCGATGTACCTCCGCAAGTTTGCTTCGTTGAAACTCGACGGTTTCGTATGCTCTCCGTGTCCTTGTAAGATCTTCATGACCCCCATGGCGCACATGCAGAGTCTTGGATCGTCTTCTCCCTCGATCTGGTCATTTTCCCCAAGGAACTCGCCAAAGCTACCATTAGGCCTTTGCAGAGCCGCCACCCACGCAAGGCACTCTTTCCGCTTCACGCGGGAAAGGTCATCTCCCAAAACCACCAGGGCAGCCAGTGCAAAGTAGGTGTTTGGCAGATTGGCCGGGTCCCAGTGCCAGTTGTGGTAACTCCTCTGGCCGCCTAGCAGTGTCCCCGTGAAACCTCGAAAGCCTCCCGTGTGAGGGACTTGACAGGTGTAGATCCACTCGATCCAGCCATGCTTCTCAGACGGCGTGATGGCAGTGTCGAGAACCCCCAGCAGGTCCAGAGCAGCCACGATGAAGAAGCCGAAACTCATTCGGTGGGCTTCGCCTGACGTGTAAGGTTCGGGTAGGATTTGCGCACACCTTTTCCAGTACTTGACATGACGCTCCTTGTCGAGAACGTAAGGCTCCTCAGGGGCCATGGTGTACGAATCACACAGTCGTGAACGGGTCAATAGGGAAAAAGCCGATAAAAAGCAGCAATCGGCAACGTGCCGTCGAAGCCAAACTTATCAATTCAGGTTCGCCGCACAGATATAACGTGCTATGTTGAAATTCCCACACACATAAAGCACTCGGCGAAATCAGTTGGAAAGGGTGCTACAAGTCAATCGAACACATTGTAGATACGCCCCGAAACCTCAAGCAGGTCGAATAGAATATGAGGGTATGAAGCAAAAACTACCGAGTACCTCGTACAGTGGTAGAGGCAGTCACCCAATACGAGGTCAACAAGGCGAGCAAGGCTAGCTTTATCAGGCGGGAACTCACAGCGGGTCTTCACATAGATCGTTCAAATCGCTCTTTTACAGGAGACCATAAACTAATAAAACATGTCATCGTTTGCTTTCAAGTGAAGTCATAATCTAACGACGCCTATCTGTTGTCATGCTTCCTTTCAGTTCTCGTGAATGATAGGTCTTGGGCTTCGCGGGTCTTGTGTTGTACTGTCGCGGAAAGAAATGAAAGAATCGAAGATATCCATCCAAGAAAAACAAATCACATGAAGTCATCGTCTCCAAGGCCGTCATCATAACTAGTCGTGTCGGCAATGCCTCTACCCATGTCGCGGGTCGCTGCAAGAGACGACTTGGTTTTGGCCGCTTTTGACTTCTTGCCGCCCTTCTCTTGTGCCTTTTCCTCCTTCATCTTCTCGTTACTCAGCGCTGTCAGTGCACTGGCCGCCTTCTTGATTTCTGCACTGGGTAACTCGGCAGCTATTTGCTTCACAAAGGTTGGCAGCCAGAGTGCATAGTGTGGTTTCGAAGAAGCAGCCGTGAGGAGAGGTACCAGGGTTGCTGAGAGGGCGTCGAATTGTGTCTTTGTGGCAGGCTTGAAGAGGGGTAGTTGTGAGAGGTCGATTGTCTGGCCTGGATTTGCTTTGTCTTCTATTATCACGGCCTTGTTGGGTTTGGCACGCGATTTGGGCTCCAGCGCCGCTTCGGCAAACAGGTCTTGCGCATGTTTCAGGTCAGAGTCTTGCTCTGACTGCCGTAATCTGGCACGCCTGGTTGCTTCGTCTTCATCTGAGCTTTCCTCGCCCTCCTCTTCGGCACGTTTTCGTCGGTTTGCCTCCCTGTGTTCCTCTATCCGCTGAGCCTTGCTCTTCTTGTTGACCGCAGCTTCTGCATCGGCCTTGGCTTTGGCTGCGGCCGCTTTGGCAGCTTTCTCTCGCTCGACTTCAGAGTCTTCTTCCTCTTCCCAATTGTCGGCAACCTAACGCTCATCAGTCCCTCTGTCGGTCCACCAGCAAAACAGCCTGACGTACGTCATCGGAATCTTCCTCGTCCGCAAACTTGCGTCGGGCAACAGGGACATCTACAGATTCTTCCTCGGAGGACTCTTCGGACTCATCATCTGGCGAGATGGCATTGTTAACACATTATCCTGGGTGATTCGTCGCAGAAGAGGACAATTTCCCCGCGGGTTCAAGATTGCGACTCACCCCACTTTGAAGGAGGCATGATGTGGTTACCCGGACTCTGCCCGTCTGTGTGATAAACTTGATGCGTTTCAAGGAAGTCGCCGCGATGCGCGCAAACGCTCGAACCTACAAAGTGCGCAAGAGAGCACGATGAACGGAGTTGACTATGCGGATTTGACTCTCTCGGATTGTGGCAACAAGGAGGTGAATCTCACAAAAATCGGGTTAAAGGACTACAAACTTGCCAAGACTTCACAATAGTGCGACACACAATTGTTAGTGCCTTCACGTGGGAGTTTAAGAGCATCTTAGGGTATCACGTGGGTGATTAGCGAGAACCGCCCCGTTCCGAGTGTTGGTTGCCCCTGGCATCTCGCATTTGCACTACTCGGTGCTCTGGCTTGCACAAGGTAAAAATAAAGCAATCTCATGACGAACGCATCTACTTATCATACCATGTTCTCTGAGAAGACGTTCAGAATTACAAAAATCGTGATGTGTTCTTGTAAAGTGCATAAATGCGCACACCCCCAACGAAGCTACTCGAAGGGCGGCTCTGTGGCCAAGGTTCTTTTTGATCTACCGCTTGCGCACGGCTTGGTATCCCATTATTGTCGCAGACCCACCACTTACAAAGTGACAGACTTGCGGAAGTTGGTGCCGGCATAGATGGCGTTGGATCCCAGCTCTTCCTCGATGCGTAGGATCTGGTTGAGCTTCGCAAGACGTTCAGATCGTGCTGGGGCACCGGTCTTGATCTCACCAGCTCGGATACCAACCACGATGTCGGCAATGGTGACGTCTTCAGTCTCTCCAGAACGATGAGAAACCATCACTCCCCACCCAGCTGCATACGAGTCTTTGGCGGCCTGAATGGATTCCGTCAGGGTGCCGATTTGGTTGACCTTCAGCAAAAGAGCATTGCAAGCTTTGGATTCAATGGCTCGCTTGATTCGCTTGGGGTTCGTCACGGTCAAGTCGTCACTGGCCTCTGTCAGTCATTGTGGCTCATTCCACGATAAAATGCGAGCACTTACCCGACAATCTGGAAGTTGGATGTCTTGAAAAAGTAGCTCCACGCCTCCCAGTCGTCCTCAGCGAAGGGATCTTCGATTGAAACAATTGGATATTTGCTCGCCAGGGACTTGTACAAGTCGGCGAGTTGCTCGTAAGTGATCCATTTGCTGGGATCGCTGTCAGGGTTCTTGAAGTCGAGATCGTACTTCTTCTCCTTCTCTTTGTAGAACTCGCTAGAGGCGACATCCATAGCGATGTTCATCTTGCCGGTGTACCCGGCTTCTTCGATTGCAGCAGAGATCAGGTCCAAGGCTTCTTCAGCGGTCTGGATATCTGGAGCGACACCACCCTCGTCACCAACATTGCCAGCGGATTGACCGTACTTCTTCTTTGCCAGAGACTTGAGTTTCTGGTAGACTTCGGCACCCCATCGAAGACCTTCATTGAAGGATGGTGCTTGGCTGTGTTGGTTGTTAGCTCAGCTCGGAGTGATAAGAGATGTGAAAGGTCATACTCGGGGACGATCATGAATTCTTGGAAAGCAAGACGACCACCAGCATGGGAACCTCCATTGAGCACGTTCATGAACGGGACGGGTAGCACATATGGCTTCTTTGTGCCTGCTAGATCGGAAACATGTGCGTAGAGAGGAACTCCTTTCTGAGCAGCACCAGCTTTGGCGACCGCAAGGCTGACGCCCAAAATGGCATTGGCACCAAGGTTGGTCTTGTTTTCTGTTCCGTCAAGCTCGATCAGGAACTTGTCGATCGAAGATTGATCCGTGCAATCAATGTTCTTCTCAATCAACTTCGGTCCGATGACGGTATTCACATTGTTGACGGCTTTCAGAACACCTTTCCCTCCCCAGTGTGTTTTGTCACCATCTCGGAGCTCGCAGGCTTCGTGCTGGCCGGTGGAGGCACCAGAAGGGACGATAGCGCGGTGTAGACCAGTCTCGGTCACGACATCGACCTCAACTGTCGGGTTACCCCGGGAGTCGTAGACGGAGCGGGCGTGCACCTTCACGATAGGCATGACTGTCGGTGGGTCAGTGAATGGAAGATATCGGAACAAGGGCAGACGATGAGTTGAGGGCTGAAGGTGTCATGTACTCAGGGAAAGTGAAGGGGAAGAGGAAGAGGAAGGGCAACTGCAAAGAGCGCAGAGGAGCTTCGTCAAGACGGTTGAGCAAAGCTTTTGAGAGGCACTTACTTGGTGTTTGCAGTGGTGTGACAGAAGGGTTGAGTCAGTGAACAAATGCTTAGTGATAAATCCCAAGGAGGAAGTAGGAGGACGACTGGGCTTCTCTATCGATGAGGGAATGGAGAGGAAAAGAAATATGCAGTGACGAAAGCTATCAAGAGCAAGTGAAACTTTTTGTTGCTTTTTGGGGTGGGGGTGTTGGCAAGAGCGAGTGAAGGTATTGATCGCGACAAAACTTCCAACTCAGCAGTTTCCCTCAGCAGCGACGCAAGGCGGGGAACATGATTGAGCCCCTCCAGAAGTCCAGTGCTGCGGATTGGGAAACTAACGCATTCGGAGGGCCACTGACAGCGGATAGGTCAAGGACACCAGGGGTCCTTCCGCGCCCAACCCGCCCAATCCACTGCCTAGAAGGCTCTCGTTGGGCCGCTACAATCATTGGCAACAGAGGACGAGGTTAGTGGTAGATCGGGCTCGGTGAGAGCACGTGATAATGCTCGTTATACCTTCCCAGATTCACTTTGCTCTCCCTGCGCCTTTGCCGCGTAGTGCTATTGGTACCTGCAGCGCGCAAGCTTCCCATTTCCTTGGGCTATTAGACAATCACCGATTTCAAATCTACAGTACCTGCAACATCTCGCACCCTAGTGTTTGGAGCACGGGTTACTACACTCTTCCGCTCTCACCGTCGATCTCATACATAATCCCTCCCAACGGATTCCCAACACAGACCGGCGTACACTTGCCTCTCAAACAACCACGATGGACGGAGGCGGTGATCCAGAACGGCAGCAGGCCCTCGAACAGTATAAAAACAAACTTCTAGAGTCTCGAGAATGGGAAGCCAAGTTGAAAGCGCTGAGAATGGATATCAAGGGACTCCAGAAGGAGTTTGAAACAACAGAGGAGAACATCAAAGCACTGCAAAGTGTCGGACAAATCATCGGCGAAGTCCTGAAGCAGCTTGACGAGGAGCGATGTACGTTTGCCGAAACCGCAGTGTCATTGAAGATGTTAACATACTTTAGTCATTGTCAAGGCATCCTCAGGTCCCAGATATGTCGTCGGCTGCCGGTCCAAAGTCGATAAGTCGAAATTGAAACAAGGCACGCGAGTGGCACTCGACATGACCACCCTAACTATCATGAGAATGCTCCCCAGAGAAGTTGATCCCTTGGTCTACAACATGTCTTTGGAAGATCCAGGACAGGTCTCCTTCGCTGGTATTGGTGGTTTGAACGAACAGATCCGAGAACTGCGGGAGGTGATTGAGCTGCCGCTCAAGAATCCCGAGTTGTTCCTCCGAGTAGGTATCAAGCCTCCCAAAGGTGTTCTACTCTACGGGCCTCCCGGCACGGGAAAGACGCTGTTGGCGAGAGCAGTCGCAAGTAGTCTGGACACAAACTTCTTGAAGGGTGAGCCCCAAGTCGTCACAGGGATTCAAAATCCATGCTGACTTTACGGTAGTTGTGTCATCCGCTATTGTCGACAAGTACATCGGCGAGTCGGCGAGGTTGATCCGCGAGATGTTTGGTTACGCGAAAGAACACGAGCCTTGTATCATCTTCATGGACGAAATCGATGCCATCGGTGGGAGACGCTTCAGCGAAGGAACATCTGCCGACCGAGAAATTCAGAGGACGTTGATGGAGCTTTTGAACCAGCTCGATGGTTTCGATTACCTGGGAAAGACCAAGATTATCATGGCTACCAACAGACCGGACACCCTGGATCCCGCTTTGTTGCGAGCAGGGAGATTGGATCGGAAGATTGAGATTCCACTACCCAACGAGGTTGGGCGCTTAGAGATCTTGAAGATTCACGCTGCTGGCGTGGTGACGGAAGGAAATATCGACTTTGAAAGCGTGGTCAAGATGAGTGACGGTCTCAACGGCGCCGATTTGCGAAACGTCGTCACTGAAGCCGGGTTGTTCGCAATCAAGGATTACAGAGATGCTGTCAACCAGGACGACTTCAACAAAGCGGTGAGAAAAGTGGCTGAGTCGAAGAAACTCGAGGGCAAGTTGGAGTATCAGAAACTGTAAAATACGACCCGTCGGTTGGATCTACTGTACTGTTATGGCGCATAGCGAGACGACCCTTGGGGTTGACTCAAGAGTGGCAGCGCGCAATGATAGATGGCTGCGATGTCCGAGGGCGATTCCACGCTATGCCTGCATGAATCCCATGGCGACCCGCCACCATCTCTGGAGTCCTCTCGCCTCCATACATGTGGCCATTTCTTTGACCGTGGCGACTTCTTCCAGACTTCCCAGTCTTTCGTCGTCCTGTCGAGGGCCATCGCGTTGAAGCTCGGATGACATAGCATGAACTGGCGCAGCCAGGTGGTAGTCTTTGTATCTCAGGTCACGGACCGTGTCGACCCATTTCTGGACGTTGGATCGATCGTAGCCTTGGACATACATGACACCAGGGGTTCCCCCTGATCGAAGCAGAGCGTAGCATTGAAATTGTTTGGCGGCTGCTTTGAGCCTGGCGACCTTCTTCCTAGACGTGATATGGTGGGTTCGGATCAGGGCATGGTATGCTACACCTGGCATGCTTCAGCCACGTGTGGCCAGGGGAGATGGACAAGGAGTACCTCGTACAATAATATCTCCCGATACGAGATGGCGAGGTTTGTGATTCTAGAAGCGAAGCCGAGCAAAGCTTGGATGTTGAAAAATGGCAGTAATGGGCGCTGCCGGCAGAATGTCGGCTTATATCCGTCTATGCACTGTGGCACCTACAATCGACGTCTCACATCTTCATCTCCTCCTCGACATCAACGACCAAAATCGCAAGTTGAACCCTCGAGACATGGCCCCAAAATAGAGACCCCAAGCAACAGCCTCCGCTCCTCCCCTCCCGACTCTGCAGTGAGCAAAGACTCACCCTTGTAACCACGTGAAAGAGGCGGACTTCTGCGCACTCTGTCCACCCTCAGGCACCCTTGGGCAACCCGTTGAGCCGTGTCCTTTTGGCGCCGAGGCTTTCCCCCGCATTAAGGATCTTGCACTTGTGAAGCTCGATTGATCAAACTAAGATGGCGGCATTCGGCACAGACCACAATGAGCCTGTTTGGGGACGGGGGAGCAGATGAGAACAAACGCATTCCATGCCGAGTCGCAGTCTGAACATGTCCTGTTGCCAGCATCACCTCCTCCATGTTCAACTTTCGCTCACCTGTCCTGAACGTCGACGAGGGGAAAAGAGTGGTCAACTTTCTCCATCGACAGCGATGATTAGTTGCCGGCAATATGATGCCATAATTGCCGTCGGTGTCTCAACCAGCAGAAACGGATGCTAGCCTCGGTACATGCAATGCACTTCTCGATGCCAATGGACGATGGATGCCCATGGGGCTGTCGAAAGCCACGCCATTTGCGGATTTGACCATCCATGGATCTTTTCTACACACTAGCACCACCTCTTACAAATGCTCTATGCCTGCTGCCGGCTAAGCGGTTCCTTTGCCTTTATCCCAGTTGTTCTGCAATTTCGTCTTCTACTTTCCTCCTGCTTCTGTTGTGCGCCCTAAGAAGCCTGAGCATCGTGGTGTGGTATTCAAAGCCTGTCGTTATGGACCGCTGTTTTCAGTGAATCCCATTCTACTTGTATACAGACTTGTGGCGGTTCGACAGAGCTAAAGTTCGGACCAAGTCCCCATCTCTTGTCGTCATGTCAAACTCCCAACATGATACTTCGAAGACAATCAACGAGGCCATACCAATCGATGCTCCTCGCAGCAAAGAAGTTGCGATTGAGGCGACAGCCGTTGTTTCTTTGCCACCAGTAACCCTCCAAGATGGCGGACTTCGGGCATGGCTGCAAGTCATTGGATGTTTCCTTGTCTTCTTCAATGTCTGGTAAAGGGAATTGTTCCTTGTTGGGAGACAGATTGCTGAAATATGACCGTGGACTTAGGGGCTTCACCTTTGCATTCGGTCTCTTCCAAAATTATTACGAGACGTCCTTTTTGAAAACCAGCTCTGCGTCCGACATCTCTTGGATCGGAACGGTTGCATCCTACCTCTTGATCGTCATTGGCATCATCTCTGGACCATTGTTTGACCTCGGTCACTACCGCAGTATGCTTTTTGGAGGTGCTGCAATGTCGTGCTTGGGGATATTCATGTTGAGCTTGTCAAGCCAGTACTATCAGATCATATTGACCCAAGGTATCTGCACTGGTCTGGGCTGTGGTGTTCTCTTCATCCCCGGCATGGCACTTGTTAGCCGCTCATTCAAAACCCGGAGGGCAATTGCACTTGGTGTTGTGAGTTGTGGCGCTCCATTTGGTATGTGAAAGATTTGGTTGAATTCAACTGCAACTCTTACTGACTGGCGAAACAGGGGGCATCATTTACACTATCGTTTTTCAGCAGCTGATCGACTCCTTGGGTTTCGCTTGGACCGTCAGAGTCATAGGCTTTATCATGCTCGCGTCTTATCTTCTCGCCTTCCCACTCTTGCTTTGGGGCGCCACAAATTTCGGTGACATTAGTTCTGGCACCACGCGGAAACTCTTCGATAGAGCAGCTTTCAAAGATATCGGGTTCTGGTTTTATACCTGGGCAAACTTCTTTGTCAGTTATCCCTAGGCTAGAAAAGCTGTCTCCGTCGATCAAGGCTGACTGTCACAGTTGTTTACCGGCTATCTCGTCCCTTTTTTCTATATACCCAGCTATGCACAGTTTGTTCTGGGCACATCACGAGCCCTCGCGCTGTATTCTGTTGTAATTGCGCAAGGATCTTCGGTGGTGGGACGAATGATAGCATCGACTGCTGCGCTGCACATCGGCGTGATGATTCCTTGGTTGATATGCGGCTTCGTCTCCGCCATTCTTTGCCTCGCCTGGATAGGCATTCACAGCATAGGGGCGTTCTGCGCCTTCACCGCTCTCTACGGTAAGCTGTCCCAAGCCTTTGTTGCTATCACACTCGTGATATTGACTGGCATTCAGGCTTTTTCAGTGGCGCGCTCATTCCACTCCCACCTAGTATATTCCCTGTTGTCTGCCCTGATCCAAAGGTTTTGGGAGCCCGACTCGGTATGGCTCAAGCAATCGGCGCCACTGCCTCCCTCATCGGCAGCCCGATCGCCGGAGCGCTGGTTGGTGATGATGGACGCCATTATGTGGGACTACAACTCTTCAGCGGGCTTGTGATGATGGTCGGAACTTTGTTTCAGCTATGCCTTTGGTTCACCTTGGTCAAGAAGAGAGACTGCAAGCTCCTAATTTGATCCCACACGCCAGAAACAGACGGATAAGGGTTCAATATATGGACAGTCGCTGTGCGAGTCCAACGGTTGCTATCCGCCTCAACGTTCTTCGCGAAGCTTTATACCAGGGTGTCCAGTCACACGGCTTATCTTAAGATCGCGCGAACTTATTCGGACGCACGACATAAAGGCAATAGAGAGATCAACACTCGTGACCTCCAGCTGACATCCCATAAATAGCACCTCCGTCTTTCGGCCCCTGCACTCCACATGATCTTCCCCGGAGATCATGACCCCAATACGCCTCACAAAAGGCATGTATTCCCGCACAGCAAAGAAAGACAGGGATCTTCTTCCTTGTCAATCTTCGACAAACAGTCAACCACGATGCCTCTTGGGCTGGATGACGATGAACTCGAAGCCTTCATCGGCATATACAAATTGAGACCAAATTCAGAGACCAAGGACACACGTCCCCCACAACGGCAAAGACCCGGCAGAGATTCTTGCCTCTCATTGGCGACAGGGGCGTCGACTCGACATGATCTGTCGTGTGGTCGAGGAAGGGAGCAGGAAGAGAAAGAGTTACAGCATCTCAGTCCAGTCGAAGAAGAAAGATCCGACAGTCTCTTTAGTTCGCCTGTAACGGCCTCGCCCCGGACGAAAGCAACTATCCACAGTCCAAGGGAGGGCAAAGGCGACACCAAGCGCTACAGTTTTCTACACTGTTATGACGAAGCGCAACAGGAGCCTCGAAAACTGACCCACAGCGCTTCTCTCCCTCCTATCTCATCTCTCCAATGCCAGCCAACACCTGCAAGGAGTACTTTCTGGGGGCAGTTCAGTTGGGCGGGCGAATTCGAGAAGGAGCTGCGAGATATCGAAGTCCAACTCAACCGCAAGACCAAGGCGAGATCGGCTGCTAAGAAGTCTTCCCATGTTCGGAGTCAGTCGGCCACGTCATCAACGAGCTCATCGCAGTCTCAAATTCAGAAAGGGACCTTGACTTTTTGGAAAGTGAAGAAGGACGCGCATTTGCAAGGGACGACTTCGTCATCCACCAATACGGATGATGGCGTCGATGCTGCAGAACAATCTGCCCTCAGTGCCGCTGTTCCACCGAGACATACAAACACAGAAAAACGATCGTCGACTCGCTTCGATTGGTTAGTGAAGCATTCTGCAGGGTTGTGGTAGTGACACTATCGGCACAGCTAGTGGCGGCGGTGGTGCTAGTCCACATGATCAAGGACCTCGAGTTCGGGAGGGCGTTTCGAGGATATGAATATTTCGAAAATCCTGCCGAAATCCCTCGAGTGCTAAGGGCAACGGCAAGTGCAGCGTTAGCATTTTATGATGTGGTTCGAACTTTGAAGTGGTCGACGTTGGTTGTACTGAGAAATGAGAGAGGAAGAAGCCGTACCACACGAAGGTTACCACCTCGTAAGAACACAAGCATACATTGAGTTACTTGGGTGGGTTTCGGTCAGAATTGAATATCGAGATTCGAGTCTCGACCTGTATGGAAGAGCTATTTTTACAGGACCACAGGACCGCCGAGGGGGTATTCCACCGTCAAAGTACCTGGCGTGTGACGAGGGAGGTCTGATATACACAATATAAAGTTATCAGGGATCTGGGCGCGGCGACAGAATATTCGTGGAGTATACCGGCCAATATGTCCTTCGCCCTGGTGCACCATTTTGCTGCAATTGCACGTATGGCCGTGAATCCTTGATTCCAGTGAGGCGGGCTTTTGTTCGATGGCTGAGAAGAACGTCCACTCTGCTCCAGATAGATGTGCTGGTTCTGCTGAAAACCAAACACATACGACGAGCAGAGAGAGAAGCCCCCAACAATGACAGCGTCTACTTTGGATACTTCTTCCAACCTCGTCCGTGGCCCTTTTGTTTCCACTCTCTGATCAAGTCGGGCATGCCTTCCATTGCCTTGCGCCTCTTCTCCAACGTCGCCCCCATGTGTCTCTCCCACTTGTGACCCTTGACCTTTTGTCCCTCGCCGGTGCCCCTAATCCTCAATCCCCTCTCGAGCAACCGCGACTCCTTGAACGCTGAGGATTTCCGCCCAGGCGGAAGGAGCTCTTCTATGCCGAATTGCTGTGCGATTTTTACCAGATCTGCCTGCCGCCGCAGCCCGATCTTGGGGCCGGCCCATCGGCCAGTCACGAAGTTTTTGCGTGGCAGGAAGGGGTTCGGCGGGAATTTCTGCAGCGCACTGGATGTCGGTATCGAAGTCGGCGTGGGAGGAATTCCTTCCTTGGTGGTCTCCACTCTTAAAGACTCCGTCGTTGACGACTCTGTCTGTGAAGAGGATGCTGGTGCAGATACTGAGATGGGCTGGGCGAGGATGCTCGCGACGAGGCGCGAGGGTGGTGAAGAAGCAGAGACTTGGTTCTGTATTTCCGCAGCTCGGGCGACGGCTGCCTCCTTCGCTTCTCTCCGCGTCAACGGTATCGTGATACCTGTGAATTTGGCCGAGTACAACTGGGGAGGATAACGGGCGAAGAAGTTCTTCAGCCGGAGTGGCAGAGCACTGAGCTCCGCCATGGCAGCGATGCCGGGAGATCAGTGACAGGTCGAGTGGTAATCAATTGGACGGATCGTGATGAGGTGCCTTTGTCCGTCGTCTCTGCGAGAAGGCTGTGGTGTCGTCCTATATGGTCTGCCGAATCTTATCTAGGTGATCCAAGGAGCATCACCATGCTCGGGTGTGAGGGATTGAGCATTCACCTCTTGTAGAAAAAGTTGTCAGAGCGCGGATTTCAGGACAAAATGCGGCGCAGGCTTGGCAGACGGGAAGTTCATCTGCTGCTTCAGCCTCTTGCCCTTTTTTTCCCTCTCCACATGTTTCTTCTGTCCCCAACGTCCTCAGTATCCCTACGAGTATTATATGCTGCGGAATACTGTCTTCTGTATCCCTGCCACTCAAAGAATATTCCTGAAAATACTCGACGCACTTTCGTCGTCGCCTGCGCTGTCCGGACTGTCTCTCTTGGGCCGTAACTCAGCCTAGTCCCGATGGACGCCTACGGTGGAAACGATGAGGAGAGCGCCGAGTTGCGGAAGCTCTTGGCCGAGGTGGTAGGTTGATATCTAGGCGATGGCCATGTGCTCCTGGGCTGACGTCTGGCGCACGCAGAACGATGACTCGGACAACTTTGAGATCTGGGAGAAGCTCGTCCGCGCCGCCGAGGCCCTCGAGGGCGGAATCAATAGGAACTCGAGTTCGCAGGCGATCACGGCCGTCCGGAGCGTCTACGACCGCTTCCTCTTGAAGTTTCCTCTTTTCTTTGGCTATTGGAAGAAATACGCCGACCTGGAGTTCTCAATTGCCGGAACCGAAGCCGCCGACATGGTGAGGGAGTTTGTTGCCAACAGAAGAGAGACTTGCATGCTAAAAGGATGGACAGGTTTACGAACGTGGGATCGCCAGCGTCACCAATTCGGTGGATCTGTGGACAAACTACTGTTCATTCAAGACCGAGACAAGCCACGATTCCGATGGTATTCGAGAGTAAGTATGAAGCATGTGTTCCCTCTTGTCGAGAACCTAAACATAGCATGACACAACCTCGTTTGGCAGAAGGAGCTGGCGATGAAATCGATGATGATGGCCACCGCAGCTTTGGTGAGCTCATCGTCGCTGTCCCTCCCCTTCCGAGCTTGCTTCTCACTCATCACCAGTCAGGTGCTTTGATTTGATTTGCCCGAGAATTGGGCCTTTGCCCGCCCACCCTTTCTGCAGGACTATCTCAACCTTTGTTGCAAAAGAAATTGAAGGACTATTATCACGCGTACATTCCCCATCCTCCCATGTCTGCTTTCTCCCTCCCATTCTCCCAAGTCCCTCGCAAAGGTAGTGCACAATAATACTAACCAGCGGATGATCAGGCTCTTTGAGAGAGGAGCGGTTTGTGTCGGCCTCGACTTCCTCGCCCATCCCTTCTGGGATAAATATATTGAATTCGAAGAACGCATGGAAGGATTCGACCGAATCTTCGCCATCCTCGGCCGAATCATACACATACCGATGCATCAATACGCGAGATACTTTGAGAAGTACCGGCAGATGGCACAGTCGCGCCCGCTTTCAGCCATCGCTCCTCCCGGCACTCTCACGCAGCTGCAGATGGATATCGAGAACGAAGGTGCCGGCTACAAAGCCGGCCGAAGCCAGCCAGAGGTAGAGCGAGAGTTACGGACCCGGATTGATAACTATCACCTCGACATCTTCCGACGGACACAGAACGAGACTACGAAACGATGGACGTATGAATCGGAAATCAAGCGACCATATTTCCACGTGACGGATCTCGACGAAGCTCAACTGACTAATTGGCGCAAATATCTCGACTTTGAAGAATCAGAAGGTGATTACACCCGCACCCAGTTCCTCTATGAGCGCTGCTTGGTCACTTGTGCGCAGCACGACGAGTTCTGGTTAAGATACGCCCGGTGGATGTTGGCCCAGCCGGGCAAGGAAGAGGAAGTTCGAAACATCTATCAAAGAGCGTCTTGCTTCTATGTTCCGATTGCTTTGCCGACAACCAGACTTCAGTACGCCTATTTCGAAGAAATGTCCGGTCGCGTCGATGTGGCAAAGGACATACACGATGCGATCCTCTTTCAGTTACCAGGCCATGTCGAGACAATTGTCTCTCTGGCGAACATAAATCGTCGTCATTCAGGTCTGGCGGCCGCTGTTGCCGTGTACCAAAGTCACCTGGAGTCTCCGAGCGTCGAATCTGCAGCAAAAGCTGCCCTGGTGGCTGAATGGGCGAAACTCCTCTGGAAAGTTAAGGGCTCAACGGAAGAGGCTCGCCAGGTTTTCCAGACGAACCAACACTTGTACCTCGACAGCCCAGCTTTCTGGTCCAGCTACCTGCGTTTCGAAATTGAACAACCCACAAGTAGCGAGACAGAGCAACAGCATTACGAGCAGATTCGGCGGGTCGTGGACGAGATCCTCACCAAGAGCGCCCTACCAGAAGCCATCGTTCAAGAGCTCATCACGGCTTACATGAGGTATCTGCTTGAGCGGGGCACCAAAGATGCGGCCAAGGAATATATGAACCTCGATCGCGAGATCAATGGGCCAATGTCGGTCCAGAAGATGCCCAAGGCCAACCTGGAGACGGGCAAGACACTCGTTGGAGCTGTCAACGGACAGGTATGTTTTGCCTTTTTTACCGCATTTAATCCCAGACAACTCCGACATTCTTACTGACATCGCTCGACAGCCTCTCCCCATCCGATACCCCTGATCATGTTATGCGATGGACGGACGAAATCTGTCCCACCACACGCTGTGACAGTTTGACTACGAAGAAACGCCTCACTGACTCTCCCCATCATGTGGTTGTCCCTGGAAAGGCGGAGTTAAAAACAAAATAATCGGGTGGGGGAAAGTGCATAAACAACATTTCGTTATGTGGAGGATTTGCTGTGTTTTGGGACCTGGTCGGCTGAAATGATAACAACCGCTGCTCCCTTTGATCGGATCGTGAGCAGAGCAGAGAAAGGTTCGAAGTCCTTGTACACAAGATTCAAAGATTCAAATGTCGATAATTGCACTGAACTGAATGGAATGAATGCACCCTATCATCATCCTCCTCCTCTTTCCCCCCTTTGGACTTGAATTTCTGTCTCCTATTATTGTTACCTATGCGGTGGTCAGGGTTGACACTCTTTACACTCTCACAGACTCGGAGCGAGGCCGCTGCTCCTCACTTCCTGTGGAAAAAGGTTGTGTTTACATATCTCTGGGTGGCTAAGTCGGTCTTATACAGCAGGAGAGGCGGTCTCCTTTCACAGAGTCGTGTCACGATCAGGACACGGGTGAGTACAGTGTATCTTATTTTAGTGTCAACCTGATCTCAAGGACGAGCCATTTGATTTCTTTCTCCCACACAAAAACTCAACTCAAGTTTCATGTCGACCAAACTCTTGCAAACCTTACAGAAGTGCACCGACCACATGTCAATTCCAGACTTCCGCCATCATCCTTTGCTCTGAGGGTCACCACTCTCACACTTAGACACTTCTATAAGAAACTAATCGGCGAAGGAAGGTTCTGATGAGTTGTGGCACGGCCTCTGGTTGCCTGACCACTCATTGAGTGTCTGAGGGAAGTGACTCATCTGCTAGGCAGTCGGGTATAAAATGTCAGCACAAATCCCCGAAATGTTTCAAAGAAAGACATCACCGGCCGGTGGGATTTGGACCGAAACAATATACCTCTGAAGGATGATGGACTGACACGGGACACAATTGCTTGTTGACCCGTGTCTTTGACTTCAGCCACAGGTATAACACATATTTTCCTTTGCTCTGGGGAAAATCCTGAAAGAAAGAAAAAAAAAAGCTTTCAGCCTCCGATATCACAGTTGTCTTCTTCCTTGCCCAAGGCTCCGAGCGCTCTGAATATCTTCCTTGGCTGGTGGGATTTGAACTCTCCGGTCTGTGATTCGAAGAATGATGAACTCCAGCTCTTCAAAGACACATAGTGTCTATTGCAGCTTCTGACTTCGATCATATTTGGTGGCTCAAGCCTCTGGCAAGGAAGTTGGAGAAAGACGAGACATCCTGGGTAGCCAGCGAAGAGCAGGCCTGCTCTATTGGGATTCGACTGGGAGTGCTTGTCGGGAAGAAGAGAGGGAGAGAGGTACGAGATGCGAACAGATCTGCGGCACCACGACAACGTCTGAGGGCCAGAACGATGGAACCACGGCCCAAGAACACAGACAGGTCTCAAGCAGCATTCATTTGGGCAAGAGCATTCATATTCCAGCAACAGCAAGGAAGGGAGGAAGGGCTGTGGTATGTATGTATACACAATATACATGACAGGTACGTATATATCCATCCCAGTGTCCGAACGAACCTATATACATACATGGCATGTTGGTGAGTCTTCTGCTGCTGCCGCAGCTACTTCCGAGTAAATGCTTTACGAACAGGACACAATTACAGCGTCGAGGACATGAATAGTATCTGGTTGGACGGACGAAGCCGAGGCTGCTATGCTGGGTCATGCCGAGTCGTGGTTCGCCAACATCGACTCCAGCCTGATGCTGTACACCAATCGCTGTCCACCTCGAGGCTTGCACTACCAACCGATTCATGAATGCTCTAGGCATTGCTTGCAATGTCGACGACCACAGCCGTAATGGCAGGCTGTCAACCAATCTAGGTGAAAACCGATGGGGTGGGTCAGTTGGTTATCACTGTAACGCACAACGACATAATCTCTATGACCTGTTTGGGAATAATACCAAGCTCCGCCAAAGCCTTTATGCGAGCATACATAGGTACAAGTATATCACGCTTGTGATCCTCCTTCTCTAGCCCTCGATATCGCTCGGTGGCACTCACTAGGACGTATGCTGACGCGCAGAACGAACGGCCCGTGGTGGCTACAGCGGGGATTATTTCTCAGATTATTCTTTCTCACCAAACTCGATCCAGGGGCTTGAATTGTATCTGAATCTGCTCGTGCCGCTCCTCTATCGACGGGGGACTAGACTTGGTGGAGAAATGGGTGGGTGATGTGAGGTAAACCTTTATTAGCGAGTATCTTGTGCTCAGTATCATGCGCCAATCCTCCAAAGTGCTATTTCGGCAATTGGATTCACGATTTATCAAGGATCTTTCTTTTGTCCGGGGCCTCAAAACCCTCGTCCAGCAGGATCGCCACGAAAAAGCCCAGGTCGGGCCATTCGACCTTGCCTACACTCATGCTGATGGGAGGCAACAGTTGGACCCGAGGGCATTGCAGAGCGAGTGATAATGCCTTGGAATTGAGATTTTGAACTGCACACACAGACACATACACCTTGGACTTCCTTGCGCTTGTAGTAGAGAAGAACACAAGAACGAATGAATGACGTGATGAAGTGACACTCAACCCCTATTTCATCCGCTCGTGTTATTACAGCCTCTTCTCAACTCTTGGTATGCGGAGCTGGAACCAACTCTCAAACGGGAAAGTAGCCGATCCAAATGCCACGGGGGCCAGATTGTCTCAGCAAGCGACGAGGCGGGATGGGATGACGGCGTGCGACGTGACGAGATAAGTCTCACTCGTCAGCCTCCATATTTTTGGACTTCAGCCACTGGTGGAGCTCTTCCGAGGCTTGTTAAGAGGAGCAACCTCGCATAGACTCGGCTTAGAGGGTAACCTGTTCTGTCCATATCAGCTTGGAGAATAGAGTTAGACCCATTCAGTGTTGAGCACGTATACTCAGAGAGATAAAAGGCCAGATGGCAAAAGGATGAGTAATAAAACTTGCGGCAGGCTCGTCAGATGTACAAAGATAGAAGTCTGTACGAGACAACAGTGGCACAAGCAAGGGGTATTGACGCTATGGCGACAAGTGTTTCACCACCGAGGGACCCAAGACATGGGAATCTAGCTGCAAAGCTAGGTACTCGTATAGAGGAAACGAGGAGATTCTGGGGGCGGCGTGGGACACGACGAGTCGGATTGATTGAAAGCTTGGAGCTGGAGATGAAGAGACTAGAAAAGCTAGCTGCCTGCACAGCCTCCAAGGTACAATAATAATGAATGGACTTCTGATGGCATAATGTCAACTGTGCGTGCAAGGAGCAGGATGTTGTTGTTTGTTTGCTTGTAGCAATTGTCCCTGCCAAGGAGAATGCCTAGGCGGTTGCCCTGCCAGTGAGAATGTATGTATACCTGGGAAGTGGCCAGTGGGTGGCCGGTGGGCGGTAGGCGGTGGGCATATGTAGGCACTTACTGTGTAGTTACGACTGAGCACCACGCCCTCCCTACCAAAACCCGGGTCTTGCCCCCCCACCACCCCCTCCGGCGCCACTCGCGAGCTGCCAGTTGGATCGGGCTTACTGGAAAAGCACCTTCCAGGCTTCTCCCCTACCCAATGCCACCAAGTGGGGGCTAAAATGGTCTCGTCAACCCTTCCGAAAAAAACTGGGCCCCAGGCAAAGGACCCTGCGTGTGCGTGTTGCGCTCTTCGTATAGGGCCACATGCGGCTGGCGAGACAGCCGAGTTGAGTTTAGCGGTGACGCTGGTCGTCCTGGTGTTGCGCCTCTGATGCGCGTCCTGGTGTCCGAGACTTGCATGCACCGTTTGGTGCAGTCGAGGTTTGAATTTCAGCCCTGACCTGGATACCGCTGGTTGTCAGCAACGAAAAAGAATAATTTGGTGCTACAACTATTTTGCTGATTCCTTCCAGCTGAATCCCATTTCTCACTCACTCACTCTCACTTGCTCTCCTCCCTTGCTCTTCATATCATCCCCAAAACCCAGAACTTGCCCTCCTTGCCCGTGGCCTGCAATCCTGCCTTGACCGCCCCTCCTTTATTGTCTGCAACAAGTCTATCCTTTCCTTTGTCCGTCGACTGGACCACGACCCTATAACAAGGCTGGCTGAGCGTGCTTTGTGACCGTTCTCTTCTCTTCTCACCCCAATTGAGATCAATCTCTCCAGACACCCGCTGCACCAATCTTCAAGATGTGGTTTGTATTCCCGCCAACCATCCTGGGGCCTTGAGAATGAGCTGACGGAATATCAAGTGGCATCTTTGGCTACATCAACTATCTGGTCGAGAAGGACCGCAGGTTCATTCTAGACACCTTGCTCAATGGTGAGTTGTGCCCCGTACATTCCAACCACTCACCTTTCTAACATGGAATTGCTCAGGTCTGGCTCGTCTCGAGTACCGTGGCTACGACTCCGCCGGTCTAGCGGTCGATGGCGACAAGAAAAATGAGGTTTTTGCGTTTAAAGAGGTGGGAAAGGTGGCCAAACTCCGAGAGCTGGTTGAAAAGTCTGGCGTCGACATGACCAAAGTCTTTGACTCTCACTGCGGTATTGCTCACACCCGATGGGCCACCCACGGCCAGCCTTCCAGACTCAACTGTCATCCTCACAGGTCAGTTCAGGAACATTTTCATGTGCATGTGCGAGGCATCCCTCGCTAACCGTCTCACAGATCTGACCCCAAGTGGGAGTTTGCTGTCGTCCACAACGGCATCATCACAAACTACAAAGAGTTGAAGGCCTTGCTCGAGGGCAAGGGCTTCAAGTTCGAGACCGACACCGACACCGAGTGCATTGCGAAGCTTGCCAAATACCTCTATGACCAACACCCAGACATTGATTTCACCACGCTCGGAAAGGCTATCATCAAGGAGCTCCAGGGAGCTTTTGGCCTGCTCATGAAGTCCGTCCACTACCCCCACGAATGCATCGCCGCCCGAAAGGGTTCACCTTTGGTGGTGGGAGTGAAGACTGCCAAAAAGATGAAGGTGGACTTTGTGGACGTCGAGTACTCTGAAGATGGTGGTGCTCTGTCTGCTGAGATTGCAAACCACAATGTTGCAGTCAAGAAGTCTACAGCTGGACTCTTGGCCCCCAACGGCATGTTGGCTCCCCCTGACAAGTCGCTGCTCCACCGATCACAATCCCGGGCATTCTTGTCGGATGATGGTATGCCTCAACCAGCCGAGTTCTTCCTCTCGTCTGATGCTTCGGCCCTGGTCGAGCACACCAAGAAAGTTTTGTATCTTGAAGACGATGACATTGCCCACATCCACGATGGCCAGCTCAACATTCACAGATTGACCAAAGATGATGGTACCAGCAACGTGCGTGCTATCCAGACCATCGAGCTTGAACTTCAAGAGATCATGAAGGGCAAATTCGACCACTTCATGCAAAAGGAAATCTTTGAACAACCCGAATCTGTCGTCAACACCATGCGTGGTCGTTTGGATGTCGCAAACAGAACCGTCACTTTGGGAGGTCTCAGACAATACATGAGCACCATTCGAAGATGCAGAAGACTCATCTTCATCGCTTGCGGTACCAGCTACCATTCTTGTATGGCTGTCCGGGGTGCGTTTGAGGAGCTCACGGAAATCCCCATTTCTGTCGAGTTGGCTTCCGATTTCCTCGACAGACAGGCCCCAGTTTTCCGGGACGACACCTGCGTGTTTGTGTCACAGTCTGGCGAGACTGCCGATTCGCTCATGGCTCTGAGATACTGCTTGGAGCGAGGTGCTCTCACTGTGGGAATTGTCAACGTGGTCGGCTCGTCCATCTCCATGCTGACCCACTGCGGTGTCCACATCAACGCTGGACCTGAGATCGGTGTCGCCTCGACCAAGGCTTACACTTCTCAGTTCGTGGCCATGATCATGTTTGCTTTGTCCCTGAGTGAGGACCGCCTCTCCAAGGCTCAGCGCCGTCATGAAATCATTGATGGCCTGGCCAAGGTCAGCGAACAATTCCGCGAAATCCTCAAACTCAACGACTCGATCAAAGAAATGTGCGCCAAATTCCTGCAGAACCAGAAATCTCTCTTGCTCCTCGGCCGAGGCAGCCAATACTCAACAGCTTTGGAAGGTGCCCTGAAAATCAAGGAGATTTCATATCTCCACTGCGAAGCAGTCATGTCTGGAGAGCTCAAGCATGGTGTTTTGGCGCTTGTCGATGAGAATTTGCCCATCATTATGATCCTGACCAGAGATGACATCTTCCCCAAGTCACTGAACGCTTATCAACAAGGTAAGGACTGTCCCCGCTTCCATCCAGATGGTCATAGCTAATGATTTGACAGTGATCGCTCGTGGTGGACGACCTATTGTCATCTGCAACAAGGACGACCCAGAATTCCCCCCATCCAAGACGGAGCGCATTGAGGTGCCAAAGACGGTCGACTGCTTGCAAGGCTTGTTAAACGTCATCCCACTGCAACTGATTGCCTACTGGCTTGCGGTTGCTGAGGGACTGAACGTGGATTTCCCGCGCAACTTGGCCAAGTCTGTCACTGTCGAGTAAACTTGTTTTGCGGAGAGCCTGCAGCGTGTGCGCGTTCTGCTTATTGTGCTATGAGGGATTATCTCAGGGAATGATCTGGGAACACTACCAAAGGGAGAATGAGTACTTTGTAGAAAGTAAATGAGATACCGGTAGAGAAAGTACTTTAAGGAGTTTTTAGAACAAAATATTCCCTGACTTGCCCTCCTGTTCCTAGAGAGAAGATGTTGACATCAAGGGTGTATTTAGTCCTTGTAGTCTGTTGTTGTCATTGCCAGGCTGATTTGGAGAAAGTTGGAGAAGTTGCTTGACGAACTCGAAAGGCTGCATTTGGCAATTGAAGGACACATTACAATTCTGTGCCCCAAGTCTCTTTGGCACCTCCTCGAGCTCTTCATATGGAAAGCAATGTCATTAGATGAGTCAATTGTGGCCAAGTCGTTTCTGCAAACGGGTGAAGATGCATCGGCCAGTCGTCGGCTCACACGCGCTCCGGCCTCTCCCAGCACGCGACGTTCGTTCTCTGTCGCGCCTCACAATGTCTTCCTATTCTTAGTCGGGTTACGATTGGTCAATGCCTTGACGACAAGGACATTCTTCCAGCCAGACGAGTATTTCCAAGCCTTGGAGCCAGCATGGCAGTGGGCATTTGGAGGAAGAGCAGGAGCGTGGATAACATGGGTGCGATAAACCGACAAAAGGCATACAAACAGTGAAGGAAAGCTCATGATGGACAACAGGAGTGGAAGAACCATCTGCGATCAGCGATACACCCTGCAGTCTTCGGGCTATGCTACCAGCTTGCCGACACTGTTGCTGAGCGCTTGATGTTGCAAAGCCCTGTTCGCTCAGAGGTCCTGCTTGCTGCCCCAAAGACCTTACAGGCATTCTTCGCCGCGACAGCGGATTTCTATACCTGGAGACTTGCGTCCTACGTCTACGGGAAAGACTCGGCAGCAGCTCTAGCAACGTTGTTGTTAACTGTAGTCAGCCCGTGGCAATGGTTCTGTTCTACGCGGACATTCTCCAATTCGTTGGAAACAACTTTGACCGTCATCGCCTTGTACAATTGGCCCTGGCATTGGATGCTTCCACAAACTGGAAATCACGACGCCGCCAAGGCTCTGCTTGAGAACCACGGGATCCGCTCTCGAGACGAATCTGCGGCGGACAAGGGCTTGACAGACGAGTTGACCCGATTGCGAAGGGCGCTGTTCTGCGCTGCTGTGGCGACAATCCTCCGGCCCACGAATGTTCTTATATGGATGATCTTGACATTCACCACCTTCATTCGGGATTGGAACTCGATAGGCCCAAACTGGGCCGAGTGTATCCTGTTCGTGCGCGAAACAGTGCTCTGTGGGAGCATGGTTCTGGCCTCTTCGACCATACTTGATCGACTATTCTACGATGCTTGGGTTTTCCCACCGCTGAACTTCCTCCAGGTCAATGTTGTCCAGTCACTGGCAAGCTTCTACGGCAACAACGATTGGCACTATTATGTTTCCCAAGGGTATCCTCTTCTTCTAATGACGGCACTACCATTTACATTGACCGGACTGTTTCGAGCCTTGAGCTCAAACGATGCACATTTTGCACAGACACCTCCCGCTGGCCGCGGTGCTCTTCGCTCTCTCTCCATCATATGTCTTCTAGTCCCAGCGGCCTTCTCAGTCATCGCACACAAGGAAGTGCGCTTCATCTATCCCTTGCTTCCAGCTCTACATACTGTGACTGCCTTGCCTTTGGCGTCCTTCTTCCAGCCGTTGATAACCTCGTCTTGGTCGTCTCACATGACAAAGCGACTTGTCCTCCTCCTTATTCTGTCCCTAGATCTCACGGTATCATACTACACCACCCAGATCCACAATTCCGGAATTATCGACCTGACACACTACCTACGTCACGAGTTCGAGGCGGTCTATCTCGCCTCTCCCACACCCTCAAACATGACGGTTGGCATGTTCATGCCCTGTCACTCCACCCCATGGCGCTCACATTTACAATACCCCCCGACCTCAACCCACCCAGGCATCCGAGCTTGGGCTCTGACGTGTGAACCGCCACTCAATCTCAACGTGACCGAGAAATCAAGCTATTTGGACGAAGCAGACCAATTCTACGCCAACCCCTCTCTCTGGGTGAAGAAGTACATGTCACGCCACCCTCCACAACGCAAGGGCAACACTAGACCCAGCGGCTCAGTGGCAGGAATTCTCCCGGCCTCAAATATACAGGGTAAGATCGACACCATACCTTCCGATCTCCTGGAGAGAGAGCGGGCAGAACAGTTCTGGCTCACCGGCGGCCAAGGCCGAAAGCCATGGCCAGACTACCTCGTCTTCTTCGCCCAGCTAGAACCCTCTTTGCAAGTAATCCTCAGGGGGAGCGGATATGGCGAATGTGAGCGACTGTTCAATTCTCACTGGCACGACGATGGGAGGCGGCAGGGCGATGTGGTTGTGTGGTGCCTCGATCCTGCAAGACAGCGGGAACAGAACCAGAAGACAACCCTGGGAATCGAGACCAAGTCTAGTATCGACATGGACGAAGTCGAAGACGCAATCCACGACCCGTACGCGTTGGGAGATACAGGAAAGACGGGGCAAAAGGTCCTCGGCGGCGGCGACGGCGCTGCGAAGGGAAAAAATAAAGAGCCGTTCAGGAGGGTGGTCGAGAAGCCCTTTTGGAAAGTCAGAGGGCCAGAAGACTGATTTTTGCCGCTCCGTCATTGAATGTGGACTGTCAAAGTAAAACCATAAACGATAGATGAATGGTACCCATACCAGACAAATCTCCAGGCGCCTCCCTCATCCTCTTCCTCCTTTCCCTTTTCGTGGAGAATGATTGAATACCTCACAAGTCCCTCCTGTCTGCGGCCGCTTTAACTTGTCACGTGATGATAATCCACGTGAGGTGTCGTGGGAGCCTTTGGGAGCCGCGGAGCCTCAATTCGGCCCCCACCGACCTCTCCTGCCAACGCCCCACACCTGCCACACTTCCTTCATCACCTCGTATTCATGAGGAACTCGGATGCTGCTCGGTCAGACACTCGCATTACACTTATTACTGGTCTACACCTTCGTCGATACAGACCTCCTAGTCTCCCAATGGTTAGCCTCGCCTAATCGACACAGAGGCCTCGTTAGCCTTTCATGTATCATTTTACCTGCTGCCATGGATTGTCTACGGATCAGCGATGCTGCCTGCGGAGCAGCAGCACCTACGGCCTTCGACTTTTGCTTGGAGCCTCGACTTGGTTTGATGCTTGCTATGTCCTCGAATTTTTGCCCCTTGTATAGTATCGGTTCTGCTTGTCTGGATGCCGTTCACCTTTGCTTATACGCAGGATCGTCTCCGTCTTTATAGCTGTCGACTTTGTCTACGAACGAACGAACGATCCTGGAGGACTGAAAAAGAGACGAGAAGGGGCGGGATCCCCACAGTCACATGTCGATCAGTCAGACAACTCATATGACATTTACCCACCTCTACATCTCTTACACCTTTCATTGACACAGACCTAGTCCTCACAGCGCTTCCAAACATTGCTCAGCAAAGCGGCCAGAGTAGGCACTAACCGAGTTTAGGCAAAGCTTGGGGCAAACGACAAGCAGGAAGGCTTTGATCATAATGCTCGAACTGGTAAAACCGCCTCAGAAGTACATTGGCTGTATGAAGCCACTACAACGTGGTCGGGTCCAATAGGTCTTCCAACACAATAGTTTCAATGGAGGCGCAAACACCAAACTCCGATAGGTTGGACCCCCCGGTCCCGATCCTCCCCCAGAATCCCAGTCAAGGCTGCAAGAAGACGAAAGTGGCAGAGCTTGCAACCCTCTGCAGCGAAGCGCTATATCCTAGCCAGTCAAAGACGCATTCGAGAGTAGCTGAGCATATCTCGCATGGATGGGATGCAGTAAAAGAGTGCTCATCCACCCTACAATTGCGGACTCAAAAACTGGAAAGCACTCAGCCGCAAGTGGATGTGGTGGCCTCCCATGCCGCCTTGGACAGGTGAGCGATATGCGCAAGCTGGAATTGCAGCCCGCTCGCAGCCCTCCTTTTGAGATTTTCTTTGGAATGGACATACTCTGGATTGCTGTTATACCGCGCAATGAAGTATCGGGATTACTTTTCGTCGAAGCGCGCACATTATCAGCCGGTCCGCTGTTTTTCGACGCCACTCTGGTCCATATCGGCACCCGGCGCTCAAGCCTCAGCCTTACGCCTCCGTCATCCATCAAACATGGCAGATTCCACTGCCCCTGCAGAGCCACAGCAAGACGGGGTACCCGACATCAACGAAAATCCATCAAGTATGGTGGATTCTACTTCCCCTGCAGAGCCACAGCGAGACGGTGGACCCGACATCAATGGGGATCAGAAAGATTTTGACAAGAAGTTGTTGCAGGCAGCACAAGACGGCGATGCTCAGGAATTGATTCGCTGTCTTAAAAAGGGGGCAGACATCAATGCGGTGGACGATTACGGTTGCACTGTCCTCCACAAAGCAGCACTGTACGGAAGAACAGAAATGACGCGCATTCTACTCGCCCAGAATGATCTCGATGTCAATGCACAGGACAAAGATGGGGAAACGGCCTTATACCAAGCCACTGAAAGGAAAGAAGAGACTATCATAGAGCTGCTGTTGAAGGCTGGTGCAAAAGTCACAATCAAAACCAAGATGGGAGACACAGCTCTGCACCAAGCAGCATCAGAAAACTACCTCACAGGTGTCGAACTTCTACTTGATAAGGCTAAGAGTGCGACTATCAGGACCAGCGAGGAAGAGACGGCTCTGCTTGTGAATGATATAAATGGTGAGGGAGACCCGGTTCTGCATGTGGCCGCTCGACATGGCAGCGAAGACGTCGTCAAGCTTCTTCTCAAGTGCAAAGTCGATACGACAGCCTTGGACAAGGGTCAAAAAACAGCATTATACAGGGCTTTTGAATACGAACAGATCTACGTTGTCAAGCTCTTACCTCACCAGGACGACTCACTCAAGTCCCCAGATACCAACGAGATGATACGACTAGCGTATGCAACCTTTAGCGGTGATTTTCCACTGGTACAGGAGTTGATGAGCAAAGAAGATTCAGTGAACAAAGAAGATTCAGTGAACACGATTCTCTTGCACTGGGCAGCAGCCGGAGGATCGCCAGAGGTTGCAGGGTTGTTACTTAAAAAGGGCTTTGTTGTCTCCAGCCTATATCAAGATGGCACACCCTTACATTTTGCCTCCATAGCTGGGGAAAAAGAGGTTTCACAGCTCCTTCTCAAAAATGGTGCCGATGTCAACGCGAGTGATCAATATGGCATGACGCCCCTTCACTGGGCTGCCGAAGGAGGCTCCACAGAGGTTGTCAAGCTACTGTTGGAGGGGGAGCGTGCCGCCATGATTGATTCAGTATCAGACGGTGGACGAACGGCATTACATTGGGCCACATTGACGGGAGAAAAAGGTGTCGTTGAGCATCTATTGGAGAAGGGTGCGGATTTCGAGTTGAGGGATGACGATGGATGTACGCCTTTGCACTGGGCCTGCGTTGAAGGTCATGCAGAGTTGATAGATATCCTGATTAAAAAGGATGCAAACTCCGAAGCAAGACAACGAAATGGGGGGACGCCATTGCACCTGGCTGCTTATAACAACAAGACGGACGCCATCAGAAAACTACTGAATCACAAAGTTGACAGCAATGCCAGGGACGACGACGATTGGACTGTCTTACACTGGGCTGCAGACAAAGGAAGCAAAGATGCAATGGAATTATTATTATCATCATTAAAGAAAGAAAGCACAGGGATGCTTTCAGCCGAGAACAAGGACGGGAACACAGCCTTACACCATGCTTGTGCAGAGGGTCATTTTGAGGTGGTGAAACTCCTCTTGGGTAAAATGAAAAACCCGATCGCTGCCCATGTCGACCGCAACAAATACGCGCTTGCTGCTGCTGCAAGGAGCGGCGCAGTAGATGTGGTGCAGCTTCTAGTTGACTGGGAGGCAAATTTGATATCTACTGGATCCGGGGAAGATAGGAACATGTTCTTCCTGACAGAGGAGCAGGCTGAGTCAGTTGGAGACATATTGTGGATGAACGGAAGTCACTGGAAAAGATGGCTGAGTACAGCACGCTATTCGTTGCAATGGGCAGCTCGAAATGGGAATGAAGATCTATTGAAGAGCATCCTATCTGATTATCCCACTCTTTTGGGGCAAGATAGGCTGGCGACTGACAAGACACCATTGTACTGGGCTGCGGTTGGAGGGCAAGAAGAGCTTGTGAAAACGGTGGCGGAGATGTTGATGAAGGAGACCAAAGAAAAGAGGCTCTCAATGAAAAATGGGCTTGGAGCACTCAGAACTGCTGTGAAGAAGGGATACAACACCATCACTCAGGACCTGTTGCAGAAAATGTCGAATGCGCCAGATGGAGAGACAAACAAATGGACTCCCCTTCACTGGGCAGTACACCATCAAGAAAAGATCGTTGTTCAGGACATGCTGCGCAGTGGCGCCAACCCCCAGGAGAGAATCAACGAAGGGGAATCGGCTCTTGAGCTCGCTCAGAGGTTGGGCGCCAAAGAGATCAGGACGCTTCTTGAGAATCCTTTACGGTTTCCTCGAAAGCCGGCTCCTCTGAAACTTCCAGACTCTCCGGAGGAGGAGCCGACACGTGTCTGCAAAGACTTCACTGCGAATATCGTTGATTTTTCTCTCTCCGAGGGAACAGACACCACCCTTGGAATAGAGAAAAGAGTCTACGACATCATATACGGGAGTGGACCAGAAAAGATAATGGAGGACATTCGGCAGAGTTGGGATATCAAGCAGCTTGAACACCAATTCAGGTGGATACATCTTCCAGCAAACAATGTGAGTGACGGCGCCTATCCTCGACCATTGTCTCTTTTGACTGATTCTGGGCAGTGGCGTTGGCTTAAGGTAAAAGAGAGAGAGAGAAAGTGCCTACCGAGTTGTTGAGCTTATCTCCTGACATTTTGGCCAGGACCTTGTGCAAAGAATCTCTAAAGACGCGAATAAAACAGACGAAGAGTATGCTCGAGTGGAAAACTTCATATCAGAGAACCGTCGCGATGGTGAACATCTGGGAGATGCACATTGCCGATTTATGAACACTGGCGTGCGCGTGAGATACTTTACCATACCCATTGCTTCGGGTCTAGCTAAATCATTGACTATGTTTCAGTTTCATCAGATTGACTTTACCTCTAGTAAAGAGGCAAGCAGCATCTCCACGGATCGGAGACAACAGACGGTATCAAAGACAGATGCGCAAACCAAGGGGCAGGAACTCCCTACTCAGGAGGAACCAAACAGGCAGAGAAAATCAAATCTTCCTGGATCAGAACATCAAGAGAAACGCCCCCCGAAACCCTCGGAAAACAAACAAGGCGACTCCGAAGGCACTGTCACCGCCGCTGAGCACGCCGAAAATGTTGGGTCACAAATGTCTCGTGCCACCGCCGCCCCCTCTAACGTCACCGAACCAAGGGCCAGGGCAGGTAGAACGGGTAATAGCGAACTCCCCAGCGCATCGAACGAACCAGGCAGAGGCGAGACCAACCCTGAACAGAAGAAGCCCACCATGGCCGCGAAAGCAGGGCAAGGCATCGACACGACCAAGAAAAGGGACAAAGATAGAGTGTACGACACTAGAGGAATGACTGGCCTGAAGGGATCCAAAATGGCAATCTGGGTAAATTGAATCCAGAGCAATGTCAGTGGTTTGCTGGGACCCGCTAACTATTCAAAGGTACCATTCGTGACTTGGGAAACTGTCCAGGGCCAAAGACACTGGCGAAATGCTATTAGAATGGTCAAGCATGTGCAACAAGGTCCGGACGACTTCAATGTTATCAAAAAAGACATATTGGGCTCAAGCATCAATGAAGCCTTGGCACAGGTCGAGAAGGAGAAAGTCAGCCCTGGGAGGGTTAACTTCCTTTTGGACAGCTCTTGCTCCAGGACACTATCGGCGATCGAAGAAGTTATTAGAACCATCCGCGAAAAGACTGACAACGATAGCCGCGCCAGCCTCGACGATGAATTGAAAACCCTTGAAAGAGCCATTGAACAACTGCGAGAGTCTACCCCGTCTCCTTCTCTGTCGGTCCTCAAATGTCTTGAGGATCTACAAGAGGCCGTGGAAATCTACTCTGGAGAGCTCGAGACCAGCAAGGAGACTCAACTGCTACGCTATTATCTGGGTTTGTCACCGAGGGACGATGTCACAACTCATCATCTCCACGTGTCTCGGACCTTGGATCAATATCACTACTCTTCGTTGCCGGACACAAGAAGACGCGACGCGGATCAAGTGGTGCGACGCTATCAAAATGCCAAATGCAGGGGGCGGCGAAGCGACGAGAACCAACTTGACAACCAGAATGAACACAACCAGAATGAACACAACCAGAATGAACACAACCAGAATGAACACAACCAGAATGAACACAACCAGAATGAACACAACCAGAATGAACACAACCAGAATGAACACAACCAGAATGAACACAACAAGGTTGTCAACTTTTTCCGGCGCATTCTTGACTTGCTGCGGTTAAAATCTTCAGCCTCTGATGGAAAAAATACTGGATCGGATATCGCCCCGCCCCCTCCAACTGGCACACCAGATATGGACAGTCGAAATTTTCGAATGTGCATGGTAGACCAACTATGGCTTTGGATCATTGACGACAGTGCGTATTGTCTACATTATGTTTGTGATGCAGTATCTGATTATGCCCTCCAGAAACTATCATTACCTGCTTTCCAGACCGATGGGGCCCAAATCCAAAGGGAGGCGAAAGGGCAGAATCTGTGACAGGAAATGGCGAGGACCGCTTGATTCACAGAATAAGCAAGCACATCAGCGAAGACATAAGACCGCAAACTCGAACCGTTTATGAAATGGCAGCTTTAATAACGTCGTTTTGTACGGATTTCGTGGATCAATGCAAGGTCAAGGCTGACGGTGGAACGGCTTCGAGCCCCTCTGAATCCTTCCTCCATGTATTTGCAGACTCGATTGGTGTTGTGGTGAGTTTCCCGACTGAGACGGAAGTCTTTTCAAGGTATGCTGATACCTTTATTCAGATGGACAAAGAGGTTCAATACTTTGAAGATTTCAGGAGAGGTATTGCCGCTCGGCACAAGAATACGCAGACAAACCACGACAGTCATTCCCCCAATCTGGAACTTCGGCTGGAGAAAGAAATTGCGCTTCTCGAAGAGATCAAAGATATACGTGACGAGCTAAACATTCTTCGGAGCATTTGTACTGATCAAGATGTTGTGCTGAAGAAACTCTCCAAATTAGCCACTAGGGGGAAGGATTCCAAGGCAAAGGGGGTTGTCGCAAATGACCGGATACTCGACTATTACCGACAACGGAGCAACATCGACACGCGAATTTCGCGGATCAAAAAGATGCAACAAGATGTTCGGACGGCATACGACGCTGTGAGGCAATTTCTGCTCGTCGTTTGGTGAGAGGCAGGCACTAACACAAGCAGATGAATCATCTATTGGATCTCAAGCAGAAGGATGCAAACATCCTCGAAGCTGCCGAAGCACGCAAGCAAGCAGAGGCGACGACCAAACAGGGTAGAACAATCATGGTCTTCACCATCGTCACAATTATATTCGTGAGACATCCACCTGGCACCCGCTCTCCAAGTACATATCCAGGTGACTAACCCAGTGGTGTTTCCAGCTCCCCATGTCATTTTTGGCGTCTCTATACGCATTGAATGTTCAATCATTCCCGCATGACCAAAGTGACAATGTGAGCTATCCATCGGAATGGATATTTTCGAGGATATGTGCGTCTTTCTCCCTGGGTGTCAGAGACTTTGTGGGATTTTGCAATTCTGACCCTTTGGAACAGTTGGGACGACCGCTGCTCTCGCTGTTCCGTTGATTGCCATGGCCTTTAAAATCAATAAAGTCCTGGATTTCTTTGAGAAGCGAAGTCGAAATGAAGGTGGCAACAACCACAACAACCACAACAACCACAACAACCACAACAACCACAACAACCACAACAACAACAAGGGGCACAGTAGGGAAAATAATCAATGGGTCCGATTTCCAGAAAAACAAAACCATCCACACGGCCGATTTAATTTTCGTGTCGACCAGGCTTCCAAGCGCAAGATGGTGATTCCCGAATCAGACATAGAACAGGGGTTGGCGAACGGCGGCGAGAGGCTTCCCAAGGAAGCGGGCAAGAAGTCTGGTTGGCCAAGTCGGTTGAACGCAGGATGGCATCCCGCTGTCCCACGAGGACCTCGTTTGGCAGGGCGAGAGGAGGGACGGGCACGAGGCGTGGCTCTAAGTGATAGTATACTAGTATAGGCGCAGGGGAGGGTGGACCTATATAGACTACCTCCTGACTAACCCAAGTACTGTACGTAGTACGTGGTAAGTACCGGGTCCTGTGAGTAGGTGGGTAGGAACCCTCAGATATAAGGACCACTGAGTGATATGTGAGCTGGTTTGTGGGCCAATTCATTATATGCCGTTGTTCACGAACGAGTGACTCCTCATCCCTATATGCTACTTTTTACTTCATCCCGCTTCCTTCCTGCTTTCTTTGTACTTTTCTTTCCTTTCTCTGTCTCTTCTTCTTTCCTTTCTTTCTTCTCAATAACTCCCGCCTACCAGCCAGCCTGCCTACCAGCCAGACTATACGCCATCATGATCGGAAAAATTACGTGAGATGTCAAAAGTCAAAACCCATGGTAAAGATAATTACTTCCTTTGCGCTTGCGCTTGCCCATGCTCGCTGCTCGCTCCCATTCAAAAGACAAAGACTCGTCGAGTCGGGTCGAGCCGAGTCGACCACAAGTACTTATCCCAAACAAACGCCTCGCTTCGCCCCTCCCCTCCCCTCCCCCCTTTCGGTCGTAGGTGACAAAACAAACAAAAAGGCCGTCACCTCATGTATCGCGCGCTCAGATTCGCAAAGGCGTCGGGACTGTGTCTTCCTGCTTCCAGGTTGTTGATGCTCATGCTCTCGGCGCTGGCGTGTCGCGCCGCGATGCCCTGTTGTGGTCTCTGTCCGCCTCCTCCTGTGCCTCCCATCCCGGCACCCATGCCGCCGGGCATGGCCATCGCCTGCCCGTAGGACTGCTGCTGCGCAAAACCTTGGAAACTTTGTTCGCGAGTCTGGGTTTGAGCCTGGACCTGGACCTGGACCTGTCCCTGGTGAGGAGATCCGAATGGATTGGCACCGGCACCTCCAAAAGGATTGAAAGCGCCGTTTGTATTGACGGTGTTCAGGTTGGTGTTGGTCACGTTGGTCATGAATGGATTGCGGTTCCCGCTTCCACCGGCGGAATGCATGTTCGACAGTGAAACGGGCATGGTTGCGCTACGTTTCGCGGGCGAGAGATGGTTGTTGCCGAAAATATCGCCCGAGGGGCTATATGATACCGGCTGTTGAGGCTGTTGTTGCGGCTGTTGCTGTTCAGATGCAGGTTCTGGGATCGATGCGAGTGGCTGAAGAGCGAGTTGAGGGTAGTTGTAAAGAGCCAAGATGGAACTCTTGTCGTAGCGGCCTGTTTGTTGGGGCACCATAGGCTGCTGGTTCTGCTGAGAGAATTGCGGCTGTGAATATGGTGGCTGTTGCTGAACTTGAGGCGGTGACATTGGCATCGATTGCGACTGTGTCTGTTGCTGAGGTTGTATTTGCTGTTGAGTGTACTGGAAATTGGCAAAAGGAGATTGGGTTTGGGGTATTTGAGAGTTCATCGCTTGAGAATACTGCTGCTGCTGCTGCTGCTGCTGTATGCCCTGTTGCTGGAAAGGGTTGTTCGGCTGGGGTTGATTCTGAGGGGCAGTCCCGAACAGGTCTTGGGGTTGCTGCAGCTGCGGTTGTTGTACTGGTCGAGGGGGGGAAGCTTGGGAGGGCGGTATTCCGAAGGGATTGAAACTTGCTGGGAGCGAGCTTTGTCGTTGTTGCACTTGTGCCGATTGCCCAGGTGACTGTACGTTCAAGAAAGGGTTTGATGAAGGAGATGAAGGTACCTGGGAAAGGAACGGGTTGTTCCCCGTCGACTGAGCCGACACTGGGGTAGGTTGGAAGAAGGGATTGCTCGTGACAGGAATCGCTGCGGGTGACGCCACATATCCTTGCTGGAATTGCGTCGACGTGACCGGAGGTGTCATTGAATACTGAAACCGAGGATCCTGTAAAGGAGGCGGCTGGCTCGGATATCCCCCGGTGCTGTGAGGGAACAAGGGCTGAGAAACTTGCATGGACTGAAAGGATTGTTCGAGTCCCGTCTGGGACGGGCTGCGATTAGGCTGAGCATAGGGGTTGTTGCTGTTGTAGCTTGTTCCGCTGGTCGGAGTCGAGGGCTCTTGGGGTTTTGCCAATGACAGACCAACAGTTTGTTGGTTGTTCATGGATGTAAATGGGTTGTACGACGGCTCTTGAGGTTTGGGTGTAGGCTCTTGACTCGCAGTAGGTGTAGGTCCCTGCCTCCTGGAGGAAGCGGTATTTCCATTCTCACTCGGCCCAAGTTGGACCAATGCTTCAATTGTCCTTTCCACATTCCCATTCAACCGTCGCAGCAAATTCGTGTTGCGGTCCGTGTTGCTGAAGCCCATGTCTCGCAATGTCGCCAACTTCGTTTGTAACTCGGCATCTGTCATCTCAAAGCGCGCATCGTCCATTCGTGAATCATAATCGCCAGTGGGAATGCGGAACGTGCTATCTACCCGGGGCTCTTTCTGGTGTTTCTTCTTATCGTGCTTCGACAGGCTATAGGCGGAAGACGAGGCTCGAAGACCAAATCCGAAGAATTTGCCCTTCTTGGGAGGTAAAGGGGGCGGAGGAGAATCGAGATCTCCTCCTTGGGGTCTGGAATAGCTGGACGGAGGATTGTCGTCGCGCTGAGGAGGTTCGGGTCTGCCGTCCGAGAGACTCTTTTCCTGGTATTTCTTGCGTATGAATCTTTCCATGGCCGAGTCGACCTCGTCGACATCAAAGGGCATGTCGGGCATCTTGTTCTTGGGATTGTAGATCTTGTTGACCGCGGTGTTGCCGTTGCGCCTCATGTTCTGTGCTCAGGTGTCAGTCAGTGGGTACGTGCGCTGAGGAGGAACGGGTGATTCTACCCACCTCAACCTGCTCCGTTGACCAGGTGTCCATGCTCAGAGACTTGACCTTGGAGATATGAGTGCCCAGTTTACGGTGCAGAGAGGCACATCGCATGCAGAGGAAGACACCCAGATTCCAGCTCGCCCACGCCGGGTTCTTCGCACCACAATCGGCGCATTGTGAATTCCCGGCGACGGAGAGCAACTCGTGAAGCTCCCGCTCATTCCGCGCCTGGGTTCTCTTGCTCATTGATGCCATTTGCGAGGAGGGCGGCTGGTATTCGATAGGGTCGACGTGAAAACTGAATCGAGCCGGACTTCACGACATGCGGAGCGTAGCGAGATTGACGTGGGAGTTTTTTGCGAAATGACAAGCTCGAGGTTGAGCGACTCGATTGATTCCAGACACTTCAACTCATTGCCGCGACATTACTGCGACTTGATACGGCGTCGATCCTTTAGGTCGTCTCACAGAACGATTACCAATGTCTCTGCGGCACTTCAGTAGTACATATGAACTGAGCTATGCTTTGTTCGTGCCTCTACCCTTGCCGCAATTACATAACTGGCTGCGGTCCTAACAACCCCTTCCAGGAAAATGGTCCAGCGAATAGATCTCTAGCAGTGGATTTTCCACGCTTCCCGCTTCCCAAGCGACAACTTAGGCACTTGATGACTGAATGATAGTTCTCTAAATCATGTTCGTGTGTTTATGTGCATCTTCCATTGAACAAAGGAGGGAGGTCGATCACTATCTACAATCCAATCTATGCAACCATGAGATCAAAAACATCAACGCCAACGTCATGCCGCCACCTCCAACTGATGCATCCTTATCAAGTCACATCTGCATCAAGATCTCAAGACATCTCTGCGTCCCCATCGCCGCGTCTAGCAACGGAATAATCAATCCCATACCCATACATCTGTTGGAGCATGCCGTATTGATGTTCCATCGGCTCATCGTCGGACAAATGCCACCACTCTCTGCTGTTGTACGCTGGGTCCTTTGATTGTTTGTAGTTATCCTCCTTCATCATCATGGGCCCAAGTTCTGTGGAAGCCGTAACTCCGTGTATGTTTGGCTGTGCCTCGTAGCCATGCAGTATGTACGGCTCGGCAGTGTGCTTAAGGTCACCCGTAGGGAGAGCACACAAATTCTTCAGTTTCTCTTGTTCCACCAACTGCAATCGATACTTGGCCGCTTGTTCTTCTCTTTCCATGCTTGTCTGTGGCCAATTCGCCAAATTATCAGGGTGCATCTGGTTGCCATACGTTGGAGGCGCGATTTGCCAAAGCTCTATCAACCTCAGCCTTTGTTCAGGCTCCGCATTCTTAAACAACTGCAACTGAGATGGGAACAACACGGAGGCATTGATGCCAGACTGTTCAAGAACCATTGAAATTGGAAGATCATGTGGTGCCTGGTGTGCTGAATGGTGATAGTGTTGTGTGATATACGTGATCGGTGTCGACTGCGGGACGACTTGAGGCGTCGGGGGCATCGACATGTCGGATGGAGGCTGGAGGGAACCGAGATGCAGATTGCGTGTCATCATGTGGACCAGGTCGTCCTGCATCTTGATATCGCTCTCGGAGGCCGATAGTCCGCACTAGGGCAAAGAATCAGAAGGTCATGAACAGGGATTGGAATCGGACAAACCTGTCTGCAATGAGGATTCTCTTCAAACGCCGCCAGATTGTTCGAGAGGTCTGTCTCGTAGCCACAATGCTGGCATCTGTGAAAAGCCGACGCCATAATCTGATGACTTCAGATTTGAGAACAACACCAGCGGTTAGAGATCCTTGTGTCTGCAAAACGAGAACCAGGCAGGGAAGAGGAAGCAAAAATTCTGGGATTTAGGCTTCAAATTCGTATTGTACTAACTAACACACAAGTCTGCTATAGAAGCTCCAGGGAGTCCAGCGAGGAGGTCCGGTTTCCGAATCCGGGGTAACTTGTGAGCGGGTCGATGATCCAGAATCCAGAACAAAGAGCAACCTAGGATCCAGATGTCCAGTCCAAAGGGAATTGAGTGGTCCGGTCCGGAAGAAGCCTGGATTCAAGAAGCTGTTGATCTGTTTGTGAAGAGATATGAAGTCAAAGGGGAGAGGACGAGGTCAAGGGGAGGAGAGGAGCGGGGTAAGGAGGATTTTGTAAAGTGCGTTTTGCGAGGACTGTCGGTTTACAGACAGCGGCAACTCAGCTCAACATCAAAGCGTGAGGGCCGCCAAGTGGAGAGAGGAATCTGAGATGAGAATTTGAGGATTTGAGGATTGGAGCTGGGAAGTAGTTGTAGACAGAGAAGAAGCTGGAGTTGAACAAGGTGGAAAGCGAGTTGGAAGGGGGAGACATCATCACACACATGACCAAGTCGGAAGGTGCTGATGACACGTAGTGCCCGTCGCTGCTGCCCAAACTCCAAACTCATCAAACACGCCAAAATCTCCCGATACGCGCCTTGGCAGGACTAGTCTACTTTGGGCTTCATGCTATGCGTCTGCAATGGCGCGGCTCTGGGGAGCCTGCATCGCATTCAATGAAGTCTGGCCTTGACAGAAGTTCTCACTGTACAATCAACCTTTCGATATCTCCAAGACCAAGCGAAATCTTGACGGGACCTCTTCACTTCGAGACCTGTATTGAGCCACACTACTGCAAAACACTGTGAATCGTCTCAAGCTATCCCGCCGCAATGGTATGTCACTTATAGTCCCATCGAGGTCTAGCAAAAATACTAATTGTGTGGTATCCAGACGTCGATAGGTACAGGCTACGATCTCTCCAACTCTGTCTTCTCGCCGGATGGCCGAAATTTCCAGGTCGAATACGCCGTCAAAGCAGTGGAAAACGGTGGGACGTGTATCGGAATTCGGACGAAGCATGGTGTCGTTCTGGCCTGCGAGAAGATCATAACCTCGAAGCTCCTGAAGCCCGGCTCCAACAAGAGAATATCCACGGTCGACCGCAACGCAGGAATTGTGACTTCAGGATTACTCCCAGACGGTCGTCACCTCATCAGCAGAGCAAGAGACGAGGCCAGTAGTTGGAGAGAAACATACAAAGCCCCCATTCCCATACATGCTCTAGCGTCAAGAGTAGGGGGCTATGTGCAGGCATACACATTGTACTCCAGCGTACGGCCCTTTGGTGTGACGGCCATTTTGGGAGGCTGGGATTCTGAAGCGGAACACGGAGTAGACGGTCAAGTCGGATTAGGTCCGGCGTCGGGTGCAGGTGGCAAGTCCGAAGGTGAAGCTGTCAAACGAGGTGGTCCAGGGCTTTACATGATTGAGCCAAGCGGGCTCTACTGGGTATGTCAAAAGAATGATCACGAATGACAGTGCTGACTGCAATCTCTTAGGGCTACTATGGTGCCGCAACTGGCAAAGGACGGCAAGCTGCCAAAGCTGAGCTGGAAAAGCTTGACCTAGGCTCACCCACCTGTGACATTACTCTCAAGGAAGCCGTCATGGAAGCTGCTAGGATCATCTACGTTGCACATGAAGACTCGAAAGACAAGGAATTTGAACTCGAGATGACATGGATCTCGAGCCTCGACGGTCCAACGAAAGGCCGACATGAGCAAGTTCCACAAGAGATACTCGAAGAGGCCGAGAAGGCAGCTAAGAAGAGCTTGGAGGGAGATGATGAGGACGAAGAGGAAGAGGATGCCATGCAGGAGTGATTGTTTTCGCTTTTCCAGCACTGTAGCATTACCGCGGCGTTGGAGATGGTCGATGGGGACTCCAGTTGAAAAAAGGAGGCAGAAACCACCATCGGCGGGACATCTAGTTTTGTGGCTTTCCACGTCTCTCTCGAATAGCAAGGCTTGACACCAGAGAGTCTTCTCGGCTTGTGGTGCCTCTAGAAACCAAAACAAGTACCGGGCAGTTCTGCCTAGGTCACGTTCCAGCAACCTTTCCTTCCCCCCATCCCTTTCTCTTCACTCCAAGTTCGACGGCTGCATTGCCCCAGTCTTCCCCGTGGTTATGTCCCTTAGCCTCCTTGCCGGTGCCTCCTTCGAGACCAGCTCGGGCCAGGCCCTGGCCTTCGTTGAGCACTGTAAGGAGACCAAAGATCACCGGGATACCGGTGTCCAATTGGACTCTCATGAGGCCATGGCTCACAGCATCGGCAATGTATTCAAAGTGCATGGTCTCGCCTTTGATGAGCACACCGATGGCTATTATGGCATCAAAGGTATGCCTCAATCCTTTCACATCTTTCTTTTCTGGCTCCGGCGGCCCTGGTTGTAGACTTCCCTGCAGATCTGTCGTCGAGTTACTGCCTCCCAGAAGATCTCCGATTCCACTCGTGAGACTGCCCAGGCCACCTGAAACTGCGCTCGCTGTGCTCTGTATTTGGGACGCCGCATAGACTCGTTGGACTGCGAGGGGAAGCTCGTACGATCCGGGGACAGTTTCAATGACGATGTTCTCCTCTTTCACCCCTTGAGCCAGCATGGCTTTCTTTGCACCGTTGACCAAGGCTTCGATTATGGTGGTGTTCCACCGAGCATGGACTATTGCAATTCGCAGGCCAGAGCCATCGTGTTTCTGAGGAGCACCTGGCCCCTTGAGAGTTGCCATTGTTACTTTTTTTTCTCTGCTTCAGAAGTGCGGTTACGTCGTCGTCTTTGACCTGAGGTCTAGAATAAGTGCGTGATGGTGACAGATGAGTGCCAATGTGGGGGAGAACTGCAGGCGACGCACCCGCTTCGGGCCAGAAAATTATGCCGCCCTATGCTCACCCTCGTCTAGCGCGAGTTAGGGTCCGCCAGGGCTGAGCCCGCACTGACGCCAACCCGTGCCTCACCCATCGGTTGGCTGGGAGCCCTGGGCCGCCCTGGGCTCGTCTAATACAGTACTGTATAGCCTTGGGCCGCCCCGGCTTCCGGGCTTTTCCCCTATAGCCCTGGGCTGCAGGACCTTTTGCCGACGACTAGAAGAAGCTCTATACTAAGGTGGAACCGATGATTTTACCTCCTACGGATGTCCATTTACTGTTATCGGCGCTAGTGTATATATACTGCGCAGTCCTGTCCTCTGACCAGCCTCGCGAACTTGTCTCTGCCTGCCAGCTTTCTTGAGCCATACAGCTTTCCTATAAGTGACGAGTCCCAGCCTCCCATCATGGGTAACTTTACATTATCCAGCTACGCAGGCGTGGGACAAGCAAACCTGAAGAATTTATCCGTCAGCCAGACTGCCCGCATCGGCAACCGGCTCGAAATCTCTGGACAAGGCACGCTGCAGATGGTCATTGCGCGATGGTGCCAAGCAGCTAATCGTAGCTTCACTGTAACAGGAGGCTGGGATTCAAGAACGGGCGTTGTCATTGAAGAACTGGGAGCTCAAATCGACAAGGCTTTCGAAAACGTCGATCTGGCTCTGAAGGATGCGGGAGGTGCTGGATGGAGTCAGGTTTATCGTGTGAGATCTTACCACCTTCCACTGGGTAAAGATGCCATGGATCATATGGTCCAGAATTTTCGATATTGGATGCCAAATCATCAACCTCTTTGGACTTGTGTTGGTATCTCCCAACTAGGTGAGGAGGGTATGCAGGTTGAGATTGAAGTGGCTGCGCTCGATGAGCCAAAGGCATGAGACAGGGCCCATGTAATCACAACCAGGGGATCCCAGGCCAACAGTATCTATTTGCCATTGATAATCACATCAATTAAAGTGTTCTAGCCATGGTGATGAATCACCGCTGAGCGTGGAGGTGCTACGCGGCAAAGTAGTCTCTTCTGTAGTAGTCTGATATGTTATTTACCTACAGTTGATTACTAACGCCGAGTGTAGAGGCTTATTTTGACAGCCTGGCAACGAATCCTGGGAGCGCGGCAAAGAAGCCGATTCTGATGCAGGGTAGCTTTTTAGAGGAACAATTGAGGTAGTCTAGCATCACCGAACCGGAATTGGCCCACGTGGCAAGGTGTGGCGTACGCCTTGTCAAAGACGAGTGTCAGCAGTCGAACTGGCGCCTACATTACCGCATTCGGATGGACGCAATGGCACTCGTTAGATAGAATTGTTACAGCACTCAGTCAGTACAGGGACTTCGGATGGCCAGACCTGATCAACACAGTCAAGGTACACTTGCCAAACAGAGTTCCCAGATCCGATGCTTGGTTAGGATGCTTCTTCCTACATCTCGGTTGCGAAACGTCTACGACAAATGTGTCTGAGAGGCAAAGGCCCCAAGTGCCCCATCACTCCGAGAGGGCATGCTCGCTGTTTGTTGTTAATGAACTCAATACATCAACTCAGTATGATTGCCCTCTTGAAGATATCCACTAACTCCGAGAGTGTCTCTTTTCTTCCCGTGCTTGCTTGCCACTGCCGACATGGCAGTGGACATAGACATAATCATTATCGGAGGTGGCTTTTATGGAATTGGCTTCGCTATACAATTGCAGGGGAAATTTCCGAAAGCCTCTTTTGAAATCCATGAGAAGGAACGGAAACTTGCAGGCACTTGACTTGTAAATTCATATCCAGGTTGTGGATGTGATGTATGACATATCGGACCCAAGCACACATCTCTGAGATTGACCTTCTGATTTAGGTTCCCTCTCATTTCTACTCATTTTCGTTTGCCCTGAATCCAGTCACGGAAGTTTGCACTGCAGCCGTAAATCAAAGACAACCTACAGGATGTCGCGGCGTGATATGCGATTCCTTCACGCACCCACTTTCAAACCACTGTCCGGAAGACTGTCTACGATGAAGCAACATCGACTTGGCTGGTCACAATACTCGATAGCCAGACAGGCCGGACTTTCGAAAGGAGATCACGCGTTGTCATCTCGGCCGTCGGTGCCTTGTCTATCCCCAACGACTGCAACACCCAAGGCGCACAAAATTACACAGGGTCACTGTTTCACTCGGCCCATTGGGACCATTCGTTTGACTGGAAGGACAAAGAAGTAGTGGTTATCGGTACATGATGAACAACGCTCGGGAGCAATAGAAGGTCGTACTGATTATATGCTCCCAGGCAAATGGCTGCAATGCCACACAATTTGTCCCCATCATGAGCCAGGGCCCAGGACGAGTCAAAAAGATCATTCAATTCAGCCGCAAACCGCATTGATTCAGTGAACGACCAAACCCAGAGTATGGAGCAGTATTCCGGGCGGTCATGCGATAAATTCCCTTTGCAATACGCCTCTGCCGTTTTTGGCTTTATTGTACCCTGGAACGCGACTTCTATGGGTTTAAGATCAACGCCGGAAAAAGAATCAGAGATTCCCTGAAATGCATGCAAAATTGCTCACATCAAGCGAACTGCCCCTGTCAAATATCATGATGTGCTGATTCCCAAGACTGAGATTGGCTGCAAACGTAAAGTCACAGATACTGATTATCTTGCTTGCTTGCACCAGGACAGTGTCGAGTTAGTGGCCACAGATACGATCCAGACAATCACAGAGACGGGCGTCAAAACGCAGTCGGGCCGAGAAATCCATGCGGATGCGATCATTCTTGCCAATGGCCTCAAAACAGAGCAGATCCTGCATCGTCTCGAGGTCTGTGGTCAGGGGGAAATCAGTCTGAACGAATACGTACGTGGCTTGCTGCAGCATACACTCCGTTCCCTGGTCTTGAAGCTGACCACCAAGCAGTGGAAACGACATTGTGCCTCTTATGGAAGCTACGTATCGAGTTTCCCGAACTTCTTCATCATGATGGGGCCGAACAGCGCAACGGGACACATCTCCGTCGTCTTCTCCACGGAATGTCAGATCAACTTTACCCTTCATCTTCTTCGTCCCGTGCTCAAGGAAGGGGCCGTGGCCACAGCCATCTCTGTCGTCCCCAACGCGGAAAAGAGAGATAACGCGTAGATCCAGTCAGCGGCTGCCAAACTTGGCTGGGCCGCAGGGTGTACAAGTTGGGGTATGTCGATGCTGCCACGGGCCAAAACACCATGTTATATCCCGATTGGCAATTCAAATTCTGACTCAGAAGTTGCTTCTTTCCGTGGTCGCATTTCAATGTTCAACGCGCGGCCAAGAAAATGCAGGGAGCCAAGCTTGATTGAAAGACATTTTCGACGGAATGTTGTCTGTCATGGCTTCGGCAGGTGCGACAACGGCAATTGGCTAGTATGAAAGGCCACGCAGACATTCCCATGCACACCCGTCACACATGGGCTCAATCAGTGATGTATACTGAGTACTTGTTGCTGAACTAAAACTTCTCACGTGCTATGAGTGCTGGTAGATTACCGGTGAGCGCAACACTCTCGGCGAGACACCCGGCTCGCCGGAAGTGTCCCGCAGACCGGCGTCCTCGATGCCAAGCCGTATGGCTTCTGCCCATCCTGCCACTTCGCTCGGTTACATGTTCAAAATCTCATGTTTGAGAGACGCTGGTTGGCTGTGTGTATTGACAAGCTCAACTGTCCGCCTCGATGGGTCCAACAGGCGCCATCTTCAAGTTCGATAAGGGCGGCGGGCAATGTGGAGAAATTCGGGCTTGTCCAATGACCGATGATGGTTCTCCCTTCTTTATCTCCCCCTGCTGTCTCTCCCCACGACGACTTTCCCTTTTCTCTCGTCGACCACGTCTGCACAGAGACATTTCCTCATGTTTCCTCCTCCTCGGATCCCAGCATGTCCACATGGAGAGCCGTACGAACCAAAACAGGCTGTGTGACCTGTCGGAAGCGTCACAAGAAATGTGACGAGCAGAGACCATTCTGCAACAACTGTTCGAGGGCAGCCTTGATCTGTGGCGGCTATCATCAGATAAGCGTATGGCAGCCCGGCTACCTGCGCTCCCACAAGAAGCAGCGGTATTTTCGGAGTCCTGGTGACGATGCCAGCAGCTGACATTCATTAGGCCGGTCGCCACACTGCCCGTGACTGCCGAACCCCAAACAACGCACCATGTCGACTTAGCCTCTCGAAGCCCATCTAGCTACAGTCTGAGCGACGACGAGTCCCACGCAAGGACGCTTGAATGGTGCGCATCGCAATCCAGCGGGCCGAGCGATTCTGCCAACCGTCCTACTCCCCCGGGGCGACGTAGAAGGGGCACTGTAAGTGGGGAGAAATCTCTCGACGATCAAGCTCACCGAGTAGAGTCGACCGATCTACAGTTCCCACAACCAAGAGCTGCGTCTGCTCTATACAAGGCAATACCATGCTTGGCCGATGGTGTCAAAGACGAGCTGGAACAAGCGCTACTCTTGCACTATCTTCGATCGGTGCCCGAGTCGTTCTCCTCGGCCTTGTCCGCGGTCCCTTTTCGGTCTTTGCTGGCGCCATTTGCTCTGCGCGACAGAGGCCTGTTGTGCACCCTCTTGAGTATTTCGGCGCAACATTTACTCAAGCTTCACACCATATCGTCTCAGGCGCCTGCCGTCGCCGTCGAGAGCAAGTATTGGGCACTCAAAGGGGAATCTCTCCAGTGCCACTCGGAGAGGGTCAAGAATGTTTGCGCAGACATCTCAGCAGCATCTCCATCAGCCTCAACCCTATTGCCAACATTTGTGAGCACGCTGCTTTTGGTGCAGCTGGACAGTCTCGGACAGGGCAAAAGACAGCATTGGCGTTTACACCTCCTCGCCGCTGCCGAGATCGGACGTCGACTGTGCCAGTGTGAAGACGAACCGGCCCAGAGACAGGATGCAGCACTCGCCGACTTGGAAATGCACCGCTTTGCTCTGGAACTCTATCGCTACTACGACGTCCTGGCTTCCATCACCCTCAATGAGAACGTCTGTCCGCTTACCTCGGACACGTTCAGTCCCTCGAGACAGAACCTACGTCAGGGTCTCCTCTCGCAAGCAAATGCCGATCTCATCGTTCTCTTGAGCCGGATTATTGCACTCCATCAACGTACAAAACACTTGTTTGTAACAAACGGCAACGAGGAGTCGCTCGCCTGTCTCAGTCCCATCGACTTTGCAGAAAGCCTGGAGTTGTCCGGCATTATCCAGAGTTGGGAGGCCTGTAATCCTTCGCGCGTAGAACGCCTGCTTGTGGACGCCTATCGCCAAGCTTGTTTCATTTGTCTCTACCTCACGGTGGACCCTTCCAAAGGTGAAGATGTCAAAGTCCAAAAGACACGAGATTATGGTCTCGAGTGTCTGGAGGCCATACTGCGTCACAACGAGGATCTGGAATGTTCACTGTTTGCTCCTTTCATGCTTGGTATTGTATCGCCACTCCCATCACAGCAAGAATTCGTGCGAAGGTTTCTCCAATCTAAACTCTTTCATGGGGCCGACAATGCCCAGGAAACCTTGCGCTTTCTCCAAACTTGGTGGCGCGAAGAAATGTATCGCAAACAAAATTTCATGTGGACCTGGGAAGCGAAACTGAATTCGGAGCAATGGTGCTTGGTGCTATTTTGAAAAGTCCCGTCGAGGTGGACAATATTCACAGATCCGCCTCCAGGACGCAGCGATATCGTGCTTTTCCCGAGGCCACCTTTTCCAGAGCCTTCCCGCAGTCCCTCATTGGCATGACCTCGACCCACGCCCTCATATCGATTTTGGCAGCCAGCGCCAGCATTCTCTCCATCTGTGTCTTACTCCCAATCATCGAACCGACTATGGTGAGATTCGAGCCGATCAATAGACCCGCTGGGATCCTCGGCAGTTTCGACTCGCTCAAGCCCAATATTACGAGCCTACCACCGACGTCCAGCAACTCGAGGTAGCTCTCCAGAGCAAAGTCATCGGCAAACGTCGTGGATATCAGAATGTCCAGGTTCTTTGCGTTGTTTTGGACCCACGTCTCAGACGCGCTGGTATTGATGAATTTGGAGACACCCATCTTCTCGCAATCTGCTCGCTTGTTCTCGCTATGCGAGATCGCTGTTACTGTAGCACCCATGGCCTGAGCAAATAAAATGGCAAAGTGACCGAGGCCACCGATCCCAATGACGCCGACTCGCTGGGCTGGACCGACTTTGGCCTGTTCCAAGGGAGCATACACCGTAAGACCGGCGCAGAGGAGAGGCGCCGCAGTGGTCAATTCGAGACCTTCGGGAATAACAAAGACAAAGTCTTCGTGGATACGTTTGTAATTTGCATACCCACCGTGCGAGATGGAACCGTCCGAGTATTTGGAGTTGTACGTCTCCACCAGGCTGGACTGTCGAAGCATTAGCCCTGGATGCCCATTGTTACGCGTTTGATGGCCTGTTTACGCACACAATAGTTTTCACGATCGGAATTGCACAATCGACATGTGCCACACGTGGAGGAGAGGACTCCGACACCAACGATCTGCCCCGGTCGGATTTTGGATACCTTCTCACCCACTCGTACCGCTTCGCCAACGATCTCGTGGCCGACAACGATGGGATACGCAGTTCCGGGCTGTCTCTAAGTCAGCAGGGGGACGTATAAGGCTGGCCAACTCAAGGCGCTCCGCTCACCCAATTGTCATTACCCTCGTTTGCCTGGACAGTCAAAAGGTCGCTGCCACAAACGCCGCAGTAGCTGATCTTGACGTCGACATCGAAGGGACCGAACGGTGGTGGCTCTATGTCAAGAACCTTGGGTTTATCCCAGGTGGAAGCTGATTCCACGGCGTACCCTTTTCGTTTTAAGCATGCGTCCTGTGATCCTTCGCTTTGGGGTGTTTACCTTTGAATTGTGCAGTCATGATATTGACGATGCCAGCCCGGATTGAGGAGCTTGAAATGTTGGACCAAGCGTAATTGATCAAGGGTTTGGAGAAGACGACGGTTCGCGTCACAGTGCGACTCTATCAAATATCCATGTTGTTATGCGAGACCAGTGATTCTGCTGTCCGTCACTCTAGTCGGAGACCCACGGATGCGAGTATCGCTATCTCCACTTATTGGCCAGGCCCGACTCTGCAGGAACAAGCTGCCGAATTGGGCAAATTAGACGCTTATGCCGTGATAAGGGCAGAGAGGAGAATCGACTTCCACAACCACAGCAGAAATCTGCACCCCACTAATGTCATAGTTTGAGGGCAAATTCCGAGCTCGGCTTTGCTATGGGCACCTCCGGATGCGGGTACGTGTACTAAAAGGAGCATGGAATCCAACTAGCAATGAACGATGAGCACAGAAGCTTGCTTTGCCTGCTTGATATCAATACCATTTCCTCGTCTACGGTGACACTCGGTCTCGCAACATGGCCACGACCACGATTACCCGAGCCGCCCAACAGCCGCCGCCTACGGTCGAGTATGACGATGTCACTATCCCCTACCAACGGTTGGTCGACGGTTACTCAAAGGAATGGCCACCTCGACAGCCTTTGCCGGTCCCAGAGTTCCAGGCGGACGCCAATCCTGATGATGTAGTCACGGCGTTGAAGAAGTCTGGCGGTGTCTTTGTCCGCAATGTTTTGACCCCGGAAGAAGTCCAGCAGATCGAGAGTGACTTACGTCCATCCCTGGAGGCGGACAAGCCGTGGGCTGCAAACGACGGGTTTTTCCCGCCGACTACCCGTCGAGCCTTTGGTCTCGTGGGCAAGTCACGCCTGTTTGCGGAAAAGGTGGTCAATCATCCCGTCTATCAGGCTGTTTGTGACCAATTCCTCACGACAAAGGCTTACAAATGGCACGGTAACCGATCAGAGGTCAACATTTCGAGACCCCAGCTAAACAATACCATTGCTTTCTCTGTGCGACCGGGCGGCAGCAATCAGCCCCTGCACCGAGATGACGACATCCACTATGCGAGCCGTGAGCGGGTGCACGAGTATCCCAAAGCCACCAACTCTCGCGAGCTCGGCATTGGTTTTTTTGTTGCGGGCAAAAAGTCGACAAAGGCCAACGGAGCGACCAGATTCATCCCTGGAAGCCATCTCGAAGCGACAGAACAACCGCCCCAGGAAGAGTTCGTCGCGTACGCCGAGCTCAGCCCCGGCGATGGGTTCATCATGCTTTCCAGTTGTTATCACGGCGGCAGTGCCAACACGACCAACGACGAAGAGAGACTCCTCTTCAGCTGCTTCATGACCAGAGGCTATTTGAGGTACGATATCTGCAGTCCTTTATTCACGATAGCAGTCTACTCACATCCGTGTCCAGGCAAGAAGAGTAAGTTCAACCACGAACGCATCCGGGCGAACACCTGTGAAATTGAGAACTAACCGAGTTTGTATTTGCTACGGACAGAAATCAATACTTGGTGAGTTGTATTTGGCCATCGGATTTCTACTATGTTCGCAAACTAACATGCTAGACTAGGCGGTTCCCTTGGAAGTTGCCAAAACTCTGCCCCTCGAGATCCAACGAATTCTCGGGTATTTCGTAAGGTTAGTAGCTCCTCTCAGACCCTCATCGTGGCTGGTTGATTCTTTTACTCACGTTGTTTGTAGCGACGTAAGGACTCTGAACCGACTGAACCCCTCCTCTCGATGTCTCTCTAATTCACACTGTGGCAGCCAATGCTTGGGTGGGTGGATTTCAAGGATCCACGAATCGTCCTTGACCCAAACGCACCTGACGTGGGAGGACTGTAGAACGCTAGAAGAGGAAGGTGTGCAGTTGACTAATTTTGGGGGAAAGCCTTCGTGGTGAATTATTGTTGCCCCTTGTTGTCCGCGCCTATCTCGAAAGATCGTGGCCTCATGGCCAACAACAAATGGTCATTCAGGCCTAAAGTTATGTCATGATCATGACTGATATGCTGTTGACCGTACGTTTCACGATACCTGTGCCTATCCTGGGTCCAGGTCGGAAAGGACTTCTAGCCACATGAATCGACTCCTCTCACAACAAGAGGCGGTAGATGTGCTAAAAAGCCAGTCTGGGGCCTCGCTGGACTACTGTCTGTATCTTGGCGATTTGTGTGTAAGCCAAATCAGGAATCACACTTGTGACAATCTAATGAGCCTGTCCGAAGATTGTGCCATAATTCTGCCTGAGCGAACCTTCTCGGCCATCCCCACTACTATCGCCGGCGGCCGGGGTATGTCTGGTGGATGAATTGCCATTGTAGGTAAATCTAGCGCGCTCACAAACATACGACATGCCCAAGTATACGAGGACAAAGCGGTGGTGTTCTAGCCTTCCACCGAGACACGCCGTGGAGAACTACAGATATGTCTCTTGAATTGTGTCCATCTTCGTGACACATTGTTTTGAGTTCTGGTGACGTTGCCTTGACAGTGGGGTTTTCGCGACTTGCCTATAGCGTTTTCAGAAAATATCTTGACATAAAGATCGGATCTCGGGAAGGATAAGGTGGACAACAAGATTAAGAGGTGTGCTGTGCTGTGCTGCACACCTCCTGCTCCTCGTACAGAGAGTGAGATCAAGAATACATTCTAGAATACCTCCCACCGCAACCGCAATGTAAGCATGACCTAGAAACCTATTGCCGGTTTCGAAGGGGCACGGGCACTTGAGTTTCCCCCTTCTTCATCTCGCGGGTGCGGGCCGGCCTTGTTCAATACCGTCTTCGCAAATTCTTCAAAGACGTCTCCCCATAGATGTCGTAGCTTGTATTCGGCGAAGTTCTCAGGGTAGGTGCGTATCTGACTCCATAAGATTTCGAGCTTGTCTGGCTCGTTGGCCAGGTCCGTCACGGGGATGATCCATGGGTGAACGGTGAAGAGGAGGGCTCGTGTCTTTGGCATGCGCATCAAGCTCTGTAATTCCATCCTCAGATGGACCTGCTTGATAGAATGACAGGGTGGATACGCGTCCAAGCGGCCCGGATGATAATTTTCGTGCGTCGGCTGCATGAACAGGTTGTTGCGCTGAACACCTCCGCCAACTTTCATGTTGACAAAATACCTGCAAAAAGCGTGACCCGTGTCAGCGAATTCCGGCGTGGGACCTACTACGCACATGCGACTCTACACACCGTTCCATCGAAACCTGCAACTTTTCCTTCCACATCGGAATGGGCGCATGCAATTCGCGAATGGGCATTCCGATTCGTTCTTCCGCCGTCCAACCCGGAGGAAAAGACATGGCTGATGCTCGCCTACATACAATTAGCTCAGCTGCTTGGATGAAATGATTGAGTGTCACGGACAGGGAATAGAGCTGGTCTGATCCCTCTTGCAGGATATGTACGTCTTCGTACACTAGCAGCGAGGCCACTTCCAGCGGGTGCTTGTCCATCGGCTCTTGAATTCGGTATCGTTCGCCCATAAGGTTGTTTACAACATAATCTCCTTCGAGAACAAAAACGTGTGGATATCTGGTCGTGAGATACCGCACGATGATCTCCAGCCCTTCTAGACAAGCTTCGTAAGTACCATCCAAATACTGGAAGACAACTTCTCGCTCAGGCGTCTGGAGACGTGCGACTTTGTCACGATGTTCGGATGGATACAAGTCGTCGATGATCAGCCAGTCATTTACGTCGAGTTTGCGTATGCCCATCGTCATCAGGTAGCGCGAGCCCTTCCAACTGCGTGAATATGCTGGTACATCTCGGGTCGGGTCTCCTTGGTAAGGCTTGATCTTGCCGAAATCCAGGGCCGTGAGGTTGCTTGCCACTGGAGGTCTTTGCTTTGCACCGGTGACCGAGATGGGAACCCTTCGTTTCGGATGCTGCAAGTAGGATCGACACCAGAAGAATATCGACAATACTATCAGGAGCAAAATAAGCAAAGACATGTCCGATCTCTCTGGGGAGGATATCAAGTAAGGACGGATAGACTGTCGCCCCAAAAATGTACTTGTGAAGGAAGCAGGGAAGGTTGGTCAACCATGAAAGGGGTATATATGGCCACAGTCAGAACGACAGTTTTGCTGGGGGGATTCACGTGTGCAACGCGCGGAAGATCCAGCCGTCTTTCGACCTGGCACTGGCGCGCCTGTATCCCGTCGTTCACCTGCCATCAATGAGGCTGACCTTCCCCAAGGCTTCCGCCATCCCTGCGCTTTCCGCTGAGCTATGAGAGCGAGTGAGCTGCCATGTTCATTCTGATGACTATCCGAGTTCATCACGGCAAAATTTTTCATAGGACGCTCTTAGGTAACGACAAACAGGGAGATAAGAGTTGTAAGATTCCGAACACGGACGATCAAGCTGCCTTGCCGACGATGATGATTGGATGGGACGAAAGGCTACATGATATGCCCATTGCCCGATACTCCTGACCCGCTGCGGTTCTTCAGAATGGCACGCTTGTCTCAAAACGGAGTATTAGCCGCGACAGTCGAGGTGCCTCTGTACTCAAACCAGACCAGGTTATGCCAAAGAGGTGGGAGCGATAGTGAAAATGTGATTGCACTCCTATGCATACCGTTCTACCAGCGATGCCTTTTAACATGACCTCGCCCATTGCCTGCGTCCAGGACAGGTTCACATATCTTCTTTTCACACCTTAGTCTTTGCGAGAGCCACAGAGCAAAATGGCTGAGCCGCTTGCCAAAATGATCCACTCGAAACCCACAGGGCTTGAACCTGTACCAAGTCTTGAAATAGGTGCCATGGAGATTGTCGAGAACAACGTCACTGAGGCACAAGGGCATCAGGCTGAGATGCCGCGCTCCTTCTCGCGCCTGTCGTCCATTGCTGTCGGATTCGGGTACGATCGCATACCCCTTTGTGAACTTGGTCTGACGCACCACAGTATCACAAACAGTTGGATTGCCTATCTGAGCAGTTTCGCCATCTCCTTGAGCTATGGTGGCCGCCCAGTGGTCATCTTTGGTTGCTTGATAGCTACCTTCGTGCAAGGATTCATCACGCTGGGCCTTTCTGAGATTGCGTCGGCTTTCCCTTCGTCAGGCGTAAGCGGTCGTTGTCCCTGCCGCCCACACCGTTACTGATAGTTTCCGGACAGGGACAATATCATTTTGTATGGGTGTTGGCACCCCTGAAAACCAGGCGCTTTGCTGCGTTTGTTATTGGGTGGATGACCTTACTCGGATGGTGGATCATTGCTTGTTCTGGCGCTACTCTCTCTGCCGTTTCTATCATCGGCATGGTCAGTTTCTGGTACCCGGACCTGGTCCTGCATTCCTGGCAGACATGGTTAGTCTACGTCGGCGTCGTCTGCATGACAGGTAAGACACAGAAATGACGATGTGTGCGACATGGCTAATTCCACCAGCGGCACCGGTCGTTCTCTTTCCCAAGGCAGTGCCACGCATCGCTCAGTTCGTCCTCACCATGTCGATTGTCGGCTTTGTTATTTGTTTCACCATTGTTCTGGCGATGAAGAAACAAGTGGTTCCTGGCAGCACCGTGACAAAACTCAACCAAGGCACATCAGGATGGCCGGATGGTTTGGGATGGTTTCTCGGGATTTGTAACGCATTGTCAGTCAGCGCTCTTGTTCCCTTTCTGCGAAGTCACCAGTCTGTCTAACATCGGCAGATTTGCGTATGTCGGAACAGACAGCCCGATCCACATCGCAGAAGAGATGCACAGACCTGGAAGACAAATCCCGGAAGCTATGTGAGTGACGACCGTGATCCTGACGGACACAACGCTGAGCCATTTTGCAGGAATACCACGATTCTCATCGGATTCCTGACCACAATGCCGCTCATGGTTGCAATGATGTACACAGTGGCTGACACAGACGCCGTTGTCAATTCTGCTCTGCCCTCGCTCGAAGCCTTCTATCAAATTACAGGAAGTAAGGGGGTTTCCACGTTCATGTTGGCCTGGACCACCGTCATCTATACTGGTGAGTGATTTGTCCTGGAACAGTCAAGTTTATGACTGAATCGCGTCCAGTGTGTGTCGTGCCTCAGTGGGTTACATGTGGGCGCATGGCGTGGGCATTTTCTCGAGACGTAAGGAATGCGCTTCGTGTGACGAGGAATACTTGTATGCTGACTCAATGTCAAGAACGGGCTGCCATTCTCAGACTACTTCAAGCATCTCCACCCGAAGACCAAAGTCCCAGTGAGAGCCACCGTGCTCTCTGTGGTCTTCTGTTGGATTTATGGACTCTTATTCATCGCGTCCTCAGCAGCCTTCAACTCTATTATTACCTCAGCTGTGCTTTACCTGGTAAGGTTCAACTGGATCATGGGCAGAGACTCCCTCTTCTGACGAGCTATAGAACATCACCTATGTGGTCCCTCAGGCTATATTGCTCGCACGCGGGCGCTCGACCCTACCAAACCGGACTTTAAATCTCGGAAAGCTCGGCTTATTTTGCAACGTCTTTTCGCAAATTGCGGTCGTTTGCATCCTGGTTTTTACCTGTTTCCCCAGTTTCGACCCTGTCCAAATCTCCAGTATGAATTGGTCCAGTGTTGTTCTGGTCGGCCTGTTTGGCCTCATTATTGTACTATTCTTCGTCACAGGCAGGAACTTCCAAGGCCCAGAGATCGATATGGCGCTGATCAGCGCTGCAAATCAACAAGAGCGGGATCTCAGAAAGAGAAAATAAGATGGAGGAGTGGTGGGGGAAATTCAGAAATGCGGTGGACCTTAACACTCGTGTCCTTTTTGCTTTTATAGAACTAAGCAGGTAGTAGCTCGAGTTCACAAGTGCATTTAATGGGAATTTGACTTAATTATAGTCAAGTCTTCATTCACATAATTATCTAAATGATCTGTATTTCCTTTCTATTGTTGAGAAAAAGTCTCATTAGACTCTCCTATTAAGTATCGCCCTCGTACGTGATATCGGCAAAAAGTCCCGCGGCCTAAAGCTATAGGCGGGCCTGGCGTGCCCAGAGCCTTACTGTAAGAACAGCCTATGTAGGTGTTTAGATTCGCCCTTACAGTAGGCAAACAGCGGCCTGGGCAGGTCAAGCGAGGGATCGACCACGGGAAAATCTGCAGAAGCAGGAAAATCTTGTCACGTGGCTGCTCAGTGCAAGGCGGTACGGTCGGGTGAGTTTCCGGTCCTTTCTACGTGCTAGTGAGGAGTAAAGGCTTGACTGGGGGCACACATCCCGCGCTTAGCCGCAGTTGAGCTTACAGGGTCACGCAGGTAGCTTGGGCAGGCTTGGGTTAGCCCACTTGCCCTCGACAACCCCTCGCCTCTCGCCCACTGTGCCGCCACCTCTCGTGCCCTTGCATATCTCATTACGCTTCACAGACAACCACCCGTCGACCCTGTCCACTCGAAATCGCCCTCTGCCATTGCGGGTCAGACTCGTGAGCCGCTCCAGACGCTTAAGCTCCCACGGCTCCCCTCCACTCGGGATACACCTGCACTTAGGGGTATAGCAACAAGGCGAGTTCCATGTGGAAAATCTCTGCACATGACCTGACGTTGTGGACCTCATTGATCAAGGGTATTTAAATAATTTTGCCCCGGCATTCCTATGGGAGAGACGACGATTACTTCACTCCAGTTACACAAGATTGAGCCCACTTTCGACATTTCAGCATAACACGAAGGCGTTGTCCAATTAGCCCAACTTCGATTCGGAATATATCAAGAACCATAATCACCTCATCCTCTATAATGGCACCGTCGGCAACCAATGGCGATGGCGTCAACGGCATCACCAGGGTAAATGGGCAGACGACTGGCACTCAGTTGAAAGCGACGGCTCCGGCGTTCCACCCAGCTGGCACCCCCGATCGATCAAGGTACCATGCCTCGACTTCCGATGAAGCCATCCACACTGAGCATGAATACGCCGCTCACAACTACCACCCTCTACCAGTTGTCTTTGCTCGAGCGCTGGGAACCAGTGTATGGGATCCAGAGGGCCGACAATATCTGGATTTCCTTTCCGCCTATTCTGCCGTGAACCAGGGCCATTGCCACCCAGAACTCGTCAAAGCCTTGGTCGAACAAGCATCCACGCTCACCTTGAGCTCGAGGGCATTCTACAATGACGTATTTCCCCGCTTTGCAGAATTTGTCACCAAGTATTTCAACTTTGACATGGTTTTGCCAATGAACACCGGTGCTGAGGCCGTGGAAACAGCAGTCAAGATCGCCAGGAAATGGGGATATAAATCCAAAGGCATACCACATGACGAGGCAATCGTGCTCAGTGTGGGGGAAAATTTCCATGGACGGACGTTCTCTGCCATCTCCATGTCCACTGACCCTGAATCCCGCGACAACTATGGTCCCTACCTACCTGGCGTCGGTAGCATCTCTCCAGCCACGGGTAAAGTTATTCCATACAATGACATCCCGGCTGTCCGTGCCGCATTCGAATCCCACGGCGACAAGATTGCCGGGTTCCTCGTTGAACCGATCCAGGGGGAAGCCGGTATTGTGGTTCCTGACGACAGCTATCTGGCGGAGCTTCGCGCACTGTGCGATCAATATAACGTGCTGCTCATTTGCGACGAGATTCAAACAGGTATCGCGCGAACGGGGAAACTTCTTTGCCACGAATGGGCTGGAATAAAACCAGACCTTGTTCTGTTGGGTAAAGCCATCTCTGGCGGAATGTATCCCGTCTCCTGCGTCCTCGGCCGCAAAGACGTAATGCTCACCATCGAACCCGGTACACACGGGTCCACGTACGGCGGCAACCCGCTTGGTTGTGCCGTCGCGATCCGTGCCCTTGAGGTCGTCCGTGAAGAGAAGATGACTGAACGGGCAGAGAAGCTCGGACATGTTTTCCGCGATGGATTGAGGGACTTGAATTCGGATTTGATCAAAACAGTCAGGGGTAAGGGGCTGCTGAACGCGATTGTCATTGATGAGGAAAAGACAAACGGACACAGTGCGTGGGATCTGTGTATGTTGATGAAGGAGAAGGGATTATTGGTGAGTCTTCCAATTCTCTAGGTCATAGCAGTGCTAACTGTGCACAACAGGCAAAACCCACACACCAGAACATCATTCGTCTTGCTCCACCGCTAGTTATTACAGAAGATGAGATCAAGCGTGCTTTGGCCATCATTGCGGAGGCAGTGGTGGAACTTCCGAACTTAAAGGGAGAGAAAGAGAAGCAGGTCCTTCCAGAGGGTGAGAAGAATGTTCACATTGGTGTGGACAATTAAATTGGACCCCATTGATGGAGTGGACTCGCCGCATAAGAGGGGTATGAACCGCATTGAGGGTGCGATGTATCAAATACTAACGAGTCACGGAGTAATGACGCTTACTAGAGACATGCGACATGGGTCTGTGTTTGCAAAGAGGTGGCATTGACGGTCAGCTCTTTTCCAGCCAGGGGAATTTCATTTTTAGGTTGACAGGTCAATGGTCTTCCAGTTTTGAGTATTGCCGCATGGGTGCTTGGGATTGTTCAACCTTGTGTGAACAAAAAGGGGTACTTAGGACGAAAGTTTGAAGCTTGTTGGGCAAAGAGTCAGTCATGGATCAAAGCGTTGACCTGAATAGACCTGTACCCATTGCCCGACGCCACTCTCATCCATCGCGGATGGTTTGCTTGTCAAGCTACCAGATTGATTCCCTTGCTCATGTGGGCCCGCTGTCTCTTTTTCCCACTTGCCCTCTACAAAGATCTGACCGACGTACTTCAGGTCATCGGCAACTAGGCGCTTCTCCTGGTGTTCTCCTCGGGAGAGGCCGGTTGCTTGACCGCTGGGACGTTGAGATACAGCGAGGCCGGAGTCTACTGCATCGACTCTCGACACTGAGCCATCTGTTGACGATGGATTTGCGAGGATGGACCACGTTTTTCGTGTGCTGCTCGCTGGGCTTCTCTTGCGTGGGGTGACATGGTGGGCGAGGCCAGAACTCAGGCCGTTCCACGGCTGAACTTGGATGTCCTCGGCCATGAATCGTTGCATTGGCGAGAGGCCCGGCGGTGTCGTCTCTTTGACCGCGTCAAGTCTGGCTCGTGTGGTGTTCTGGAAAGTCAACCCCTCCATGGAGGTCGCGCTCCGTGTCGTCTTTGCGTTGCTCATGGGGTAGCTGGACATGGAGAGCACTGTGCAGGGTCAAGAAGAGGTCTCTCTGGCAGTGGAAGACGCTCGGATATCGCACTGGCGAAAGCATTCAATCCCTTTTTCTCATGTTTCCGCCGGTTTGATGGGTCAGGGAAGGCCCCTGTCTTATATGCTGCTTTCCCACCGTCGGTATATGGTACTCCGGTCATTCCCATTGCGCCCTGAAAATTCTCTGGCCCTCTCGCCTCGTGGTCGGGTATGCAGGGATACGACCAACGAAATGGCTTAGGATCAGACGTTCACACAAGGTGATTGCCAGTCTTTGGATATCGACAGCGGCCTCATCCATTCCATTGCTCTGCCGACCCTGGTCACATTCTATGGTGTGTATCGTCGGCCTCAGTGCAGGCGAGATGTCTGTCTGCGTCAACCGATGCATAACTCCACTAAACGCGCTCGGCGCCACTGACAGGGATAGTATTGAATTGTTGCACCAGCCGCGGCGAGCTGGGAAAACCCTTTCGCAAAAGTATTCTTTCTCAGTCCTTGGAGTTATTCCCTGTGGAAGATGGAGGAGGTCATTGCCCAATGTCCTAGGCCAGACTGGTCGGTAATTTCGCAATCCACCTATCTTTAGTAGAGAAGCCTGTCCTTCATAGTGGTCAGACACATCGCGACACTGGCACGTACTTTGATGTGCATACTTCAGCCTCATGTGGATTCAGATGCCGCACTTGTCGGATTTCATTGGTGGCCCCAACTAGCCCGATTGTCTGCCCTCGTTCTCATCCTTGACTCCGGCTCTTCAACCCACTGCATGAAGGTCCGGATGGACGATTGGATCTTGATGCTGGCCCATGCAGCGAAGGTGGGTCAGTTCACTGGTGAGATTCGAAGGATAAGAGGCGACGCTAGATTGATTGGTCTGGGTGAAAGGCCCCAGGAGATCTGGCTGGCATGGCTGGTCACAGATGGAGGTGTGATTAGGCTGTGCGCAGTGTCTCGACTTTGGGCGCAGCTGGTTTAAATCCCCCGCCTTCCCAAATGCTCATGGTGTCACCCGTTCTGCCCATTTCATCTTCAACCTCTTGAGTATTCGTCGACACTTGACGACACAAAGAATTTGTGAATCTTGGTCGTCAAACCCAGATTCAAAGGCATTCTAATCCCCTTTCTCGCATAGCCTGACCTTCCCGTACACCAGGAATTCTTCCAATCCACCAGGGTGACGGGCTTGTTCGGACACGCACAGTTGCGCGGAGACGTACAGTCTCCGCGCAACCGTCATCCACATCAGTCACTATGATTACCGAATAAATGATGATGTTCGCGAACCACGTCAGGAGCGCCATGCTCTTCAGGGCGATGCAGTGGAATCCCTCGGTGACGCCCCTTCGCCAGCAACCTTCACCTTTCTTTCGACACTATACACCCCTCGTCCCAACCCAGACCATGACAATGATGAATTCTCCAAGGTCTTCGAAGAGTTCATCGATCGGAAGTTCTGGGCCAACGATTTTTGCATGACTTGCCAAGGCACTCCTGGAATTTCCTGTCTTTGTGACCATCCTGATGCAGCACTGCTTGATCGCAACGACTCCCCGTCCTATTCCTGGAATGAACCCACAGCAACGCCCTCCTCCACCATGTCCCACAACGGAAACAGAGACGCCTCACCCTCCGCTTTACAAGTCCAGCCTAGCAAAAGCCGAAGGGACTCTCAAATTTCATCGACGCGTCGTCTCGGGCCCGCCGAGCTAGCAATGGATATCTCCTCCGGTCTGTCGTTACCCAAGCCCAAAAGAACTGAGGGTAGTCTACCAGTCATGCCGCCAGTGCCCCTGAGTATACCCTCGATTTTCAGATGTCCGCATTGCAATCAATGCTATGGCTCGAGCACACTTCAGGCTCGACGTTTCCGGTGAGCATGAAAATCCTCCAACAATGACGCTTTCGTCTCTGATGGACTGCAGGGAACATGTTGAAAAACACAAGACCCAGAGACGTAACTTTCAAGGCTGTGGGGTCTTCCTGAAGAACGATGCACGGACACTCGAACGCCATCTGAGGACAGCTCATGCCGCTCCATCACGGGTCCAAGACACATTCAGATGTGCGTGCGGGAAGTGGTACAGACGGAAGGACCATCTCATACGACACCGTAAGACGTGTCACAGCAGTCGCTAAAGTCTGGCAAGGAAGTGGCGGGTGTAGAATATTGGAAACGGATCTTGGAGTCATTCGAGTGTTTGGGCACGCACCGCCCTGAAGAGCATGTGGTTCGCGAACATCATCATTTCTTCTTTGCTTCTTTCTGCGAATGTCTCTGGCAATATTGTGTTCGTATTTGGAGCCTGGATTTACGCCCTGCTTACGTCTCGGCATTACTTTCTCTGTTTCTCTATATAGCATTGATTGTCTGGCAAGGCGTGGGATGATACTCCTTGAAGGTACTATGGGTCGTCACATCTCGGAAAATGTCAACTTTTGCGGAAACGATGACCGTGAATATTTCAGGGAAACGTTTCAGGCGCGATATTCATAGTCTCTCGCCACTACTGGACGTCTCCATAGACTCCAGATTGACCAGGCCTTGGTTTGAGGCAAGGCCTTTGTAACACAAACAACTTTCCGGCGGCCTCAAATATCCAGGCAATATCCCGAAACCCCAAGAATCAACAACACATATCGTCTCGAATCCCGCACGACTGAAGTCGAACTTGAACATCGGCATCCTCTCCACCCAGTGATCCTCGCCCGTGACCTCTTTGAGCAGTTCGCAAATCGTACACTTTCTGGATTTCCACAAATAGAGGAATAAGATCAGCTATGGAATGACGCCCATCCCTCAGCAACAGGTATCTGTGAGAAACGCTACCGTTCGGGTCCGTCCAGAAGGACGAATAGGTCAGGCAGGCTCCGCCATACCTGCATCCCTCACAGACACGGCCAAGGGGGTTCGCTGGTCGTTCATCTCCTTGTTTGCCACCATCCACAATCTCGACAGCCGGCTCCAATAACAGCAGCTGGACCGGAACTTTTCGTGGTAGAAAATTCGCTGTGAGTGGGGGTACAGGCGGTTTACGGAGTCGGCGCCGGTACCTTTGGATCTTCCTCCACCGAGCCTTTCCTGCTTGTTTCCTGTTTTCTGCCTTGTCTTGTTGGCCGATGTCGCCATCGGAAGACGCTTCGGCTCCTTTGAACAAATCTCCAAAAGGAGTCGGTGATGCATCTCCCATTCTTCCAACGTGGTTGTCATTATGTGCCTCGTCATTCACCGGGTGATCGTCTTCATCGAGCATGGGCTTGACCCGACTGTCGTCACGGTCGACTCTGGAAAGGTGCCGTTGGTGCAGTTCCCGTCATGCAGGAGATCAGTGTCGGTCAGGCAACCTTGACCCCTCAGCCCGCTGGCCGAACTGACACTAGCTGTCTCAATTCCTGTGGAAAGGGTGTCACTTTCCGGGTCCAGCTGCAAGGAGATAACACCACCGGGTCCTGATCTTTTCGCCTCTATGGCTCGTTGCCGGGATGCAATGCCACTGCCGACAACCTCTGGCTCGTTACAGTGGCGGACCACCCACATCACGCCATGCTCTTCAATCGCACATATAAAGGACGACGACGCTTTCAGCCTCTTGAAATGCTTCTGTCGGTGTCTACGCAACTTTGACGTACAGTCCCTGAAGTCGATGGCCTTGGCCACGTATTCCTTGTCGCTGGAACCGAGGGCCGCGAGCAGGTACAGATCTCCGTGGCTCTCGCTTCCGATGAACCTGACAATCTGGTATTTGGGACCGAGGCGAACGTTCTCGAATGAATTGTTTGGACTCTGCGACGCATGATCCGAGTCTTGGTCGAACACTCTTGATGCAGAGGTGAAGTCGGATCCCGTCCGCCGCGAGGCTGAAGCCCCTTTTGACACTTCCATCATCTTCGCAATTGCGATGGCGCACAGCTCGGCTATATCAATGACAACGACAAGAGAGTCAGAGAAACCCCACGATTACTCACAATGCGATGAATGCTCTATGGGGTTGCCGTGGTCTGTATCAGGCTGAGGCGCTCCGACTTTGTGCTAAATTGGGGCCACCAATCAAATGAATGAATGAATGACTCGCTCGACGGGCAACCATCAGTCATGATCAGCCAACCGTCTGCAGCCTTACTTCTCAGTATAGCCATGCAGCAATTCGGATATACATTCTACGTCGCAGCTTGTTGCCAGAGAGGTCACAAGGAAACCGTTGCTTGACAAGTCCTCGTCTCCCTCCGACCAGCACGGATAGAGGTCTCTCCGTCGAGACGTTCATCTTCGCCCACGCCGCTACGCCGTTCCTATTCGCCCAGCTCTAGAGTTTCGTGACCTACCTGTGCTGTTGAATGAGCATACGGGAGTCCCGCGTGTCGTCGAGAGTCCTCCATTCGATATCTCTGTCGAGTGCCCGGGCAGATCAAATCCGTCGCCATCGTCTGTCAGAACGGATAGACAATCAATCCTGTACGGCTCTTGGCAGGGCTATTCTCCTCACCCGCGAGACAAGACAAAAGGATGGATGAAAGTTAAAAACTCCCAGCCCCCAAAGTGCTGGGGAAAGTTGCCAGATATACCTACAGTAATGCCATGGTCGACTGAGCCTTGGGTTGGTTGAGATCGGTTCGAACCGAGCCTAGGACGGAGGTCTCTTCCTAGCCAGGTATGAACAAGACGTCATTTCACCACCTGTATCATCTACAAGTCACTCAAATTACTTGGAGTAAGAAAGGAAATCAAGGAACCCAGTTATGGGTGAGCAGAGGCCGCTTTAGCTTTTGACTGAGCACTCCTTGGACAAGAGACCGGGCCGTGGGGGCCAGTGAAAAAAGCCGAGATGAGCCGCGGGTCTAGGTATGTACTTGGAATCTATCAGACTCGTGGCCTGATTGCCACGACCACTGGACCGGACTCTGGCGGGCGACCCTTTTGGCAATGCGACCTCTCCAACCTCCTACCAAAGCTTGTTCCATCCTGGTGCTTTTCGATGACAAAATTGGTCCGTTCACTGAAGCGAACCTCCTTCTAGGGGGGTGTGCTGGTCGCGTTATTGCTACAATGGGCGATGGTTTAACGTGTCTTTCTGTGGGCGGCTCGCTGGTTGGTACTGCAAATGCGTTGCATAGAGAAAGGCCACATCGGCGTCGAAGATTGGGTCAACCAGGCTCTTGACCACAGGATCTCTTCCACCAATGAGTGTGCGAATGATTTTCACGTTCCAGATCCATCAAGATTTATTGCACAGATGTCTTGTTTCTAGTGGAAAGCTTCAACGGAAATCAAAAAGAGATTGTCACGACGGAAATACTGCCAAGCTGGAATTGGCAGAGTCCTGGCTGCCATGGAGGACGGGACGATTCTGGGCCCACGATCACACCAGAAGGAACATGGGTCAACTCGACGTTTAGGGCAGACCACATTCGCTGCAACCTCAGCATTCCAGAACAAAGCGCAGAGTTCTAGGCTCATGACAACTTCCAAGGATTCTGAACATGCGCGATGCGAGGTCGGGAGTCTTAGCGACGACCTGGAGTTACTCCTGGACTTCCTTGGCCCTGGCTGGTTGACGCCCGTCGCAGAGCTCGTCGATTGTTTTGAGATTGCCGTGGCCCAGGGAATTTCCTCCAAGTCAATGTTCATGGCAGAATCTCAGCTTCTTTCCTGATCGAAATTCGAAACAGCGAGATGAGAAAACGTGGACCGTCCTCGTCAGAGATATGGCATCGAACTGCAAACGTCGACTCCCAACGACTGATATACTTCCCAAAATCTCAATTGCTGACGAGCAACGGAACCCCCAGCCGGTCACGCTTGGAGTTGCCACACTGGGTTTGTATCAAATTGACGATTCTCCAAAGGATCCGGACAACAATGTCTAACCAGCTTGAGTAGGGGCTTTGGGGCAGTCACCGTCACACCCGCTGACACTGAGATCAAACTACGACTGCATCAAGCAAGGGCAGGCGGCTCAACTTGGTCTCCATTACCGAACAGATCTCACGGCAGCAGCAAACTCCATGCGCAACTCTCACAAGAGAGCTGAAAAGAACCGTAGAGATCGTCTAGCGCTCGCGATGCAAGAGCTTGTCATGCTACTTCCACAAAAGTCCTCGACCTCAAACTCGTCGGGCAATCAACGTGGTGGTAAAGCCGAGACCGTCGAGATCGCCGTGCAATACATCAAACAGTTACAGGAAGAAGTCAATGCCTTGAAGCGCCTTGCTCTGTCACCTTCGATATCGAGGACCTGTCTTCATGATAACACCACAGCACAAGATCAATAAAAAGGTGTTTGCCACTGCTGCTGGATCATGTTGTCAGATGTTGCCCCTCGGCTGCGAGCTCATAAACGTCAAAATGTGGCATTCGTGACTGAAAGTCCATAGAAAACAGCAGGTGACTGACAAACTCACCATCATACCACGAGGCGGAAGAGTATTTTACAGACTACCACAGACGGGGTTCGCACATCATTGCCCATGCTTCAAGTGCTGTGATTTGAGCAAGTCAGAGTGGTCTCCTTGTCCAAATCATCAAGAGGTGGCTTGGTTGGTCAAGCGTGCTTGGAAATAACCGGGACTCGGCAGCATAGCTTGACTCCAGACCGATCCTAGTCGCTACTCGATGACGAGATTCTTTCAACGTGCCGACGACATTCAAAGGCGACTGGCTCTCGTATTTGAATCGAGATTATCCTGTCCGGACACAAGAGTCGAATTTTACGGCCCAAAAACCATCATTGTATCCGATTGAGGGGGGAGACTTCCCGCCCAGCATAACGAAGGCTTGGAAGCAGAGAAATTCGCCAGGCTTGTGCTCGGCAAGCTGGGTTGTCTGCGCACATCTGATATCAGGGGACGTCTACTTTTCTCAGATTAACCCATTTTTATATCCGCACGTTGGGCACGTTCTGGACATGGGGCTTACAATTGGCTCTCAACGAGGCCATTCCAAGGCTTTGCCAAGAGCCCTGTTCCGCCCCACCATCTTCTTGGCGGCGGGATTCCTTGGCATTTACACCTCCATCAGAATTCCAGAGAGGCTACTCCTTCCCACGGGCACCGCGACGCTTGCTTGTTAGGTATCTATACGACTCCCAGCGTGGCCTTATCCCCTTGGCACTGTGGTCCAGAGGGACCTTGGCGAATAAAATGCGGGCTCTCAAGGGTCAGTCATTGTTACCTTGTGGTAGCTTTCTTCTGCTGCGACGAGCAGATCTCTATGTGAGTTCAATGATAAAAAGACTGACACTCCGCCCTTTCCTCGCTCTCTTTCGACTCCCACAAACTACGACACCGCCGAATTCGACCTCGGAGAGAAACAGGTTCTAGAACAGGATGGTTCTCCACCAGTTCGACTACATTTTTGCCATTGGCACCATCTTTGCTTTCCTCGACGCGTGGAACATTGGTGCCAACGATGTCGCCAACTCGTTTGCGACGTCGGTGTCGTCCCGATCCCTGACTTACCTCCAAGCTATGGCCATTGCCTCAGTCATGGAGTTTGCTGGCAGGTACGGAAGATCCTGGAATGCTTCCCCACGCTGGATATCGGGAACTTATACGTGATAACAGTGTCGCCGTCGGAGCCCGCGTGGCAGACACCATCCGAACCAAGATTGTTGACCCAGACTTGTTCGAGGGCACCCCCACCATGCTCATGTTGGGCATGACGTGCGCCGTCATCGGCTCATCCGTCTACCTCACGATTGCGACTAAGCTTGGTTTGCCTGTTTCGACGACTCATGTAAGCTTCGTTCGCTTCCGCTCTACGTTACTCCGTGTACCACTTCCATCCGATGCTCTGTTCAGGGGAGCTGGCTAACGCTTTGATCTACCGAGACAATAGTCAATCATGGGTGGTGTTATTGGCATGGGTATTGCCTCTGTTGGCGCGAGCGATATCACCTGGTGGGGTGGAGATGTCAACTCGGGAGTTGTTTCGGTCTTTTTGGCCTGGATCATCGCCCCTTTCTGCTCTGGGGCTTTTGCGGCCATCACTTTCCTCATCACCAAATATGTGGTCATGCTCCGCCAGAATCCTCTCATGAAGGCGCTGGTTTCAATCCCCATCTACTTTGGTATCACGTCCGGCCTCATCACCAGTGAGTCTTCCTGGGGACGGTACGGCTTCGGAACCTTGCATGTTCTGACCTTGATCCTTTCTAGTGCTTATCGTCTGGAAGGGCGGTTCCACGCGTATCCATCTCAGTAACCCCGAGACTATCGGTGTAATCTTCGGGGTTGGTGCTGCGGTCGCCCTGTTGGTCGCCGTGTTTTTCTGCCCCTGGCTCTATCGGGTCTTGCTCAAGGACGACTGGGAGCTCCAATGGTACCACGTTTTCCTAGGACCCCTTCTCCTCCGGCGACCGGACCCCGCCCCGGCGCCAGAGGGATACCAGGCTGTCAGGGATTACTACCGCGGACACAAGACCATGGACGAGTTGAAGGCGTACCGCGAGGCACAAGCCCACGCTCATCCCAAAGACGAAGAACAACTGGTCCACGGTTCGGAGAAGGGTGTGCCCGTCAGCGAGAACGGCAAAGCCTCTTCGGAGGAGAGCCACGTCCCCGAAAAGAACCCAGACATGCCCCAGATCATCGGCCCCCGACCCGAAGGAGCTGCCTTTTCTCCCGCCGTCCTGTTCTGGCAATTCAAGCGCGTCTTCTTCCGCGGCGTGGAGCAAGACATCATCGCCCAGCAGAAGAAGGCCAGCATCCTCAGCGGCGACATCGAGGCCACCCACGCCTACGTCGAGCACTACGACAACAAGGCCGAGTACCTCTATTCGTTCCTGCAGGTGCTGACCGCCTCGGCCGCCTCCTTCACCCACGGCGCCAACGACGTCTCCAACGCCATCGGACCCTACAGCACCATCTACCAGATCTGGCGGACCAACGAGCTGGGCAGCAAGGTCCCCGTGCCGTACTGGATCCTGGTCTTTGGCGGTGCGGCTATCGTCATCGGTCTGTGGACCTATGGGTACAACATCATGCGAAACCTGGGTAACCGCATCACCCTGCACTCTCCGTCGCGCGGGTTCTGCATGGAACTGGGCGCCGCCGTCACCGTCATCATGGCCACCCGACTGAGTACGTGCCCCTACTACCCTTTCTCTCCTATCCATTCCTCCTAGCCTTTTCACTCGTCTACATTCTTGGCTCAAAGGCTAACTCTTTTCCCCTCACACACAGAACTCCCCGTCTCCACCACCCAGTGCATCACCGGCGCCACCGTCGGCGTCGGCCTCTGCGCCGGAACCTGGCGAACCATCAACTGGCGCATGGTCCTCTGGATCTACGGCGGTTGGGTCATTACCGTACGTCCCCCCCTCCGTCCCCCCTTTCTTTTTCTTTGTGGGAGAAAGGGAAAATCCCTCCACCCGCAATGCTCCTTGGATAGTCGACATGTACTAACTAACAATCTTATGTGTCCTTAGTTGCCCCTCACCGGTATCATCTCGGGTTGTCTGATGGGCATCATCATCAACGCTCCTCGGTGGGGGTTGACGGTGTAAACGGACCGTCGGGTCTGGCTTGTTGGCTGGCTAGCTGGCTTGCTTGTAAGGCCTGGGTGGATCGTACGTTCACACGCGGACTGTTGTATGTATCGTGCATCCTATGTCGTGTGGAACTCAACACCTGTTTCGTCCGAGACTCACGGGCATGCGTCACAAGTCACTGCCACAACGAAATGGATCATATACGGACTTCTTGACTTGGTTTCAGTCTCAGTCCTTTGTCGTCGAACCGTCCTTGCGCTTGTGCTCGTGCGTGTGTGTTTGGTTGGAGCGAAAGAAGGGAATTTCATTCAATTATTGATGCTGTGTTTCTTTAATTAGAGGGTAGATATATACATTGACATTTACACATACATATATATATACACTATATATCTATATGTGTGTGTCTCTGTATGTATAAAAAAGCCCTGAATGTGCTACAATGTGTCTATTCATTTGGTATATATGCGAATAATCTAGAGCGAGCAAGCGACATCACCGGATGATTACCTATCCATCCGGAGGCGCCGTGAACCAGAGGAGCTCGCAAAAGCACTCTGCGGGGACGGAGCGACCGTGCACTACCCGACAGCGCATTGGGTCTGCATCGATCTTCAATTCCGCATCTAGTCCCCATCCGGAGTGTATATGGCGGTCAACCATCTCGGGCATCTCCAGCGACGTGAAAAGAAGTCTCTCGGCATTATCCTGCACTGGGGGCGCCAGTCGGTGAAACGCCGCCAACATGCGTACGATCCCGATCCAGACCTGGGCGTACCTCTCGCCAATCGAGGCCGAGACACTCAGCCGGACCAGGAACCACATCAGGTGGACAGGCGATATCGACGCGTCGTCGCGGGCTTCTTCGAGGTGCTGGCTGATGGCGTCGATGCACGAATCAGTCGCCGGGTCAAAATCTCCGTGCTGCATGAGTGCCGATGTGAGGAACAAAATGACTGCTAGACGGCAATTGCGTTCTGTTGGATGCTCCGAGGTTGGTGTCTGAAGCAGCCTCTTCATGGTCGAGGCTTGAAACGCCTTGATCCTCCTCAAGTCGGTCAAGCGATCCATCTCTGCCTCGGAGGTGGGTAAAAGATCCACCAGGGCTTTCTGACGACTTCGAAGCAGGTCATTGAGGTCCCTAAGTCCGGCCTCTAGATCTGGGGCGAAGTCGAACCCCGTCAGAGGTCCGGGCAGGGCAACGAAGGTCCAGACGAGCTTTGTGAACATGAGATAGTCGCCCACAAATGAAGACAGGCCACCGTGTAACGATATCATCTCCCTGAACGCCAGCCAGTGTGAGGCACCGTCAGCCCCTTCCATACACTTGAGACTGCCGAGAAGGGCCGTGCCCAGAATGACACCCGTGGTGGGAGTGTGGAGGTTGGACCTGACGCTTCGCAGGAGCTGGTTCTCGTATTCCAACGGAGCTTGTATCCCCTGCAGGGCTGACCGATGAGTTGCGGCATCGAACAACATGGCCCGGAAAGACACCTCGTCACGGGAGTAGAGCTGGAACAGGTCTCTCACGGCATTTGCGTCGCCCATGTGTTTCCAGCGTGCTCGGTACAGCTCCGGCATCACAGTGGTATCTGGACGGATTTAACACCGAGTCCCGAGGTATAAGTAGGACTCAGGACTTACAGTGATGAAAGAGACATCTGTCCGAGGCCGTTTGGAGAAGATGGAGAGGGAGATGGACGGTCGGTGGACAGGCAGCCCTGAGCGCGACATCGACCGGCCATTTGAACTGGTCGAAGCGCAGATCTGTGTGGGAGACGGCGAGGTTTGAGAGATGGACCTTTCTGTGCTGACGCTTCATCCGGTGCAACTCCCTTGCGAGATGAGCCCTGGACTTGTGGCGCTTCTCGGGGTCATTTTCGTCGACAAAGTGGAAGCGTGGAAGCGGCTTCTTCTCTGCGGCCATCAGGAGAGAGGATGTTGTAAGAGACGGACAGAAGTGCCACGGGGAGCACAGACATGTGTGTGCTTAACCACCGCCATTATGTATGTAGGACTTGTAGTCAGCAGGATGAAGTCTAGAAGCCTCGGATGCATGAAATGGCAAGATGCTGACTGATGTTTCCATCTCACGGCATCTAACTGCGGGTTCGGCGCAATTAGTGCACGTGACCTCACTTCACCCCACTCCATTTGGCTGTTAGGTGTTGCTGCTTTATAAGAGAAGGAGAACGGATCTGCTTTTATCTGTCAAAGTGCTGCTGACTAATGTTGTTTGTAGACTGCCGTCTTGGGACTTGCGCGAGTATCCACCCAGTACTGACTATTCCCAGCAAACGAGTGAGTGCTTGAGATATGTACTGGCCATGACACAGCGACACACTACTTACATTACGTTGGGCGCAGGTGGGTCGAGAGGTTCGGGGAATCATGTTGTACTCCAAGTTACTCAAGTGTCCGGCGATTGCCCGATAAAGTACGACGTACGAGGTACAAGGAGATGTCCTACACTTGGTAGCCTGGTCACGCAGTTTAGCACTTACTTTTATATACGAGATAGTATTATACTGCTTCTGGATATCCAAGTACTTTGGTAGTATTCTGCTCCCTTTCAGTTCCTGTTAACTTGCCTGTTGAACTGGCTATACTAGTACTTAGTAGTACTATATTTTGTTCCTACCTGCTAGCACCATGACAGCGACGTGGCAGGAGACGGCAGCGGTGGGCAGACACCCGCATATGAAATGTAGACCTGCTGACTTGCGGGCAAGGCCTACCAAGCAGCGCTCAAGGCCAAAATCCCGCCTGAATGGCTCCTCCCCCAGGATTTCTTGTCCGGCGGGAAGCCACGCAACATCATGCCGTTATTCAAGACATGTGGTGTCCTCACGTCCCACGAACTCGACATCACCGAGGTCGAAGACGCCGTGACGCTTTTGGAGAAACTCCACTCGAGGACGTGGTCGGCCGTCGAGGTGACGGTGGCTTTTTGCAAGCGCGCGGCGGTCGCCCAGCAACTAATCAACTGTCTGATGGACATTGACTTTTCAGGAGCCATTCAACGAGCCAAGGAACTGGATGAACACCTAGCCACCAAAGGGGAATTGGTCGGTCCGTTGCATGGGATGCCTGTGAGTTTGAAGGTAAGGCGATGAAGAAACACTTGATGGTAGGCACCTAATATGCTCTTGGTAGGACCTCACCCACGTCAAGGGCATGAAGTACACATTGGGCATGGTGGCGTTGGCCGACGAGGTCTCGGGCCATGATGCTGTTGTGGTCCAAACCCTGCGTGCGGCTGGTGCAGTCATCTATTGTAAGACGACCATGCCTCAGACTGGAATGGTAGGTTTAAACTTGAAGTTGTTAATGAACACCCGATTCACTGGTATCCGTCAGGCTCTGGAAACCACGACAAACCTCTACGGGCGCACACTGAACCCTTTCAACACTGACCTCGTGTCTGGCGGCTCTTCTGGCGGCGAAGGAGCCCTCAATGGCTGCTTGGGAGCCCCGATTGGCGTGGCCACAGACATTGGAGGCTCCATTCGTGCACCAGCCTCGTTCAATGGCCTCTATGGTATCCGACCAACCTCCCGACGATTCAGTTATCTTGGGAACGCCCCCTTCACCGGTCAGACAGCCATTCTGTCAAGCATTGGGCCCGTGGGACGGAGTCTTCGAGACATTGAGATGATGTTGCGCGTATGGAATAACCACGAGCCATGGCTTTATGACCCCGTGGTCATGACAAAGAAATGGGCGACCGACGTCCCTGTCCCAGCGAAGGCAACGATAGGCGTTATGTTTTGGGACGAGGTTGTCATGCCACACCCTCCTGTCCAGCGGGCTTTAAAGATGGCCGTGGACAAGCTTAATCAGGCAGGACATGAAGGTGGGACTGGATTTTTCTCGTTTCCCAATTTGTCTCAAGCTGACACTCATTTTCCCGCAGTCATTGAGTTCAAACCATACAAGCACAAAGACGCCTGGGATCTGGCTGTAAGGCATATACATCTCATTTGTCAAAACGTCAATGCCACAGCTGACCTCTCCATCCCACGTTTAGTTCAAGCAATACTATCCCACGGGAGGCAAAGAGATCAAAGCCACACTAGCTCGGGCGGGAGAAGAGCCCATCCCTTCAGTGGCCAAGTTTCTGGCACGAGCCCGCCAGCTGACGGTTGAAGAGTTGTTGCAATGTGCCACGTAATGCTCCTCCACACTTGTCAATCAAAACAGTAATCAACTAAACCTCAATGCAGGGAGCAACGACAATACCAAATAGAGTATCTCAATCACTGGAGAGCGACTTCGAGCCAGACATCCACCGGAAAACCGATCGACGCTCTCCTCACACCGTCAATGGCTTCGGCGTCGTTTCCCCACGATTACTTACCGTGAGATCTCCTTTCCCTCTTACTTAGAATTACGTGTATTATTCTAACTCAATTGTCACCCAGGTGGTGGGGTTATCTCGCGCAATGGAACCTCCTCGACTACCCCTCGGTCATCCTGCCCGTGTCGCACGTCCAACTTAGCGATGTAAAAGACACCACCTACCAGCCCGTCAACGAGTTGGACCAGGAGACCTATGATCTTTACGACCCTGCCCTGTTCGAGGGTGCCCCGATCTCCCTTCAACTTGTCGGCAGGAGTCTATGTGAAGAAGAGCTGTTGGCTGTGGCAATGGCAGTAGACCGTGCGATAAAGGCTTAGATTGAAAGGCGTTCACGAGGCTGAGGCCTCTCTGAATGAATACAAGTATGAAGGATAAACACTACATGGTGAAAGAGAAAGAGAAAGCCATCGCGAGCGAGACTTACAGTTGTATACAGTACAGTAAAGATACTACTACATTCCAATGATGATATCACTTCCTACATGCGTTCCGAAAAGTCATATTTCATTATTCCGCTCTGCAGAAGATCACTAGGATGATCTGTTGTCCCCCGGGTGTGGTTGATGGCCGGCAGGAACAGCAGGAATTTTGTTCCCAGCAATGCCTTGTAAAGCATAGCGACAATCGACATCACCAGTGAGTGACAAATCTGTAGCCAGCTGGTCAAGTAGGCCTGTCTCAGACGTCTTATGAGGGTTGTCCCTTCCATTGAAACGCATCACCGAAATCGCCCAAAACGGAAATGCCCAAAACAGCACCAGACGGACCCACGTGATAGATGCCTTGTTATCATTACTATATAGTACTACGGTAGGAAGAGCAGTGCTTTTCTTTGACTATTTCAAGGCTTGCGAGGACTGTAAGTACATTCACGCGGTAGCGCTTTAATCTTTTCGCTTCTGTTTCCCCCACCCTCGCGTCAAAAAAAGAGTACTAGAAGCAGGAATATCCGATAGCAATGCTTCTGGAAATAATGCCCCGTACTGTCCCTGCTACGGAAGCCTGTCTGTACATATGTATACATTCATAGGAAAGGAGTTGTAAAGACCCAATCCAAAACTTTTGTGGGTGACCAGGTTCCCTGGGAAGAGTACCCCTGCGGGATACAAAGCTGGACGATGTATATACGCTAACTACCATGTCCATAGACAGATGGAAGCCATTAGCCAGGCTGTCTTCAGCTTGCTGTACTCGGTACACCGACAGACTCTCATTACATGAGCCATGAGCAGGCAGGCTCATCTCGTCCATCCAGCACCTCTGGTACTGAGTAACAATATGATGTGCTGTAGCATCAGTATTGACATTAGTAGTTTAGACAGACAAACAAACTCGTGAGACAGTCTCAAGAGCAAATGGGCCCACTCACTTGGGACTGAATCACGTGATTCCAACAAACGCTACAAATGGTGCAAACTCTCAATCGGTTCATCCTCGGACATTAACCTCAAGTCTCCAAGCTCCAGCAGCATAATAATATCCAAAGAGCATCCCATTCTTCCTATATGGACACCACCCCCCGGCACCTTTTGTCACAGTGACGGTTTTTTTCCGTGCCCCAGCTCCAAAATAACCAGCATGAAGTCTCTCCGACGGCCACTGGCCTTCGTGCGGCCAGTCCCGCTCCTCCTCCCTAGAGCTTCACTGCGCACCTTCAGCGCCGCCCGCCGGCACGCGCAGCCTCAGCGTCCCTCGAGCACGACGAGCTCCGCACCAGAGCGACCCGTCAACTTCTACAGCACGCACGGCCGCGCGTTCTTCAAAGCCATCACCCTGGCGTTCCTGACGTACCAGATCGCGTATTGGGCCTGGTTGACCGTGGAGACCGAGTACCTCAAGGACGAGAAGAACCGGGAGATCAGGTCGCTCGAGCAGGAAGTGAGGTTGTTGGATGAGGGCCGGAAGGCGCACAGGCCTGATTCCTCTTCAGGATCATCTGGATAAGGATAGAGAAAAGGAAGGAATAATAAAAGTGAACATGAGGGATCTGTACGAGGGCGGGTAGTTGGGACAGGATGGAGAGTGCATACACCGTCGATTGAGTCCCTTGTCAAACGGGATAGTGGGCGCGCGACTTCGACGAGAGTACTAGGGTTGCCGAGTCGTTCTCCGCATCTGAAGCTGCCAGTTCGCTCCAGAACCCTCAGAGGTTTGGAGCGCAGGCGTCAGGATGATTTGTCAGAGGTCTCTCTGGATTGATCCGGAAATGCGTGTTCGGACGGCAAGTCCTGCTGTCCAACAACTTGAAGCCCAGGGTCGCTAGCATGCTTGTGGATCATATCTTCGTCCTGGTCACAGCTCGCTGGCTGAAACAAATATTCGCCAGATGCAAGAATCACGACGGGGGAACTCGTACCATCCCACCCATGTGGAACCTGTGTCCCAGACCCGGTCATCCTCTCAAGATTGACCCATGGACGACAATGTCAAGGAACGAGAAAACTCACTCACTACTTGTCGCCACCGTGGACATGAACCTAGAGCGCAGCTCATTCCAAGAAAGTGCAGAGCTTGCAGAGGGATGGAAGCTGATCCAGACCGGGCTCTGTGTTTCCCAGCGAAAGGAACCCTCGATCAACAAACAGGACACGAAGCAGGAGACAGGAATGGACGTTTGCCACACGGTCAAAGATCACTAGGCATGCCTGCTGGGCACCGCATTGATCAGTCTCATACGGGCCAGATCGAGAACCCGGCAAAGGAAACGCATCCCATCCCAACTAAGCAAAACCAAACAACCAAGTTAACACTCGCGAGGGGGAAAAGTAGAGGAACCGTGGCATGGCATGGAGGAATGAATCGAGAGGGAAAAAAGAACCCATGAAAGGGATGCTTCGTGTGTGAATTGTCATACACACAACACGCTCGCAAAGGGGATATTTTGTATATTGTTTTTCTCCATAGGCTGCATGATGCATGTCAAATGATCCAAGTCCTCTCTCTCGCATCCAGTCCCCCAAAGTCGTGCCCACGTATTCGTTCCGCTTCACGTCTCGACTGACCCGACCCGACCCGACCCTTTTCAACCTCCTATCAGGGTGTCTAGGAAAGAAACACTTCAAGGTCAATCAACTGGGCATGAGCGGCTTATACCTCTCCAACCTGCTCGCGCCGGATCCGTCATCCTCGTCCATGAGGTCTCCATTCGCATTGGCATCCGTGTTGGCATCCGGATTGTCGGGTCTTTTCCTCGTGGGCAAAGCCGGGCCGTTGTCGTTGTTGTTGCCGCCGCTGCCATTACTACCAGTACTACCGATACTGCCGCGGGCTGTGTCCCTCCTCGGGGGCAGCGGCGGTGCAGGAGGATCGTTCGCGCCGTCATGGCGCAGGGTCTGCTGATGCTGCAGTTTCGAGACCCTCATTGGTGGAGGTGGCGGTGGAAGCCTCGCGCTGGGCGCCGCGGCGAGAGAATCAGCCGCGCTCACGAACGAGGCGGTCGAACTCGCCGTCTCCTGACGTCGGGGTAGTGGTGGAGGACGCTCGTCATATTCACCAGGCCCGGCGGGACCGTCTGGCCGGGAGACGCTCGCCAGTCGTGGCATGACCGGGGCGGGGAGGGGGCTCAGTTGCGGAACCGCGACCTGGCTGGACGAGGTGGTGAGAGCCGACGGCTTCGTGGGTTTGGGCGGCGGCCGTTTCTTGGGGAATCCCGCCGCCGACGAGGACCGCGCCGGGATGTTGGCTAGATCGCTCGCCGACGACATGGCCGACCGTATGGGAGAGGTCGTGGCGCTGGAAGCCCTGTTCCGAGAAGCCGAACCGCCGCGTGGTGTAGGGGGCGTCGGACGTCGAAGGGCCTTCATCTCCGCCGCGGCGGTGGAAGGCGTTGTAGCTCGTTCTCCCTCCCAGGGTGGCGGAACCATTCTCTTCACCGTTCTCGGTGGCGGTGGTTCTGGCCTCCTGTTCCCCAGTCTGTTGCCTTGCTTGTTGTTGTTGTTGTTGTTGTCCATGATAGGTGGTCGCTCGACCTCGACCCAGTCGTCCTCCCCACCCTCCCTCCATGGGTTACCTTCACGATTACCGCTCAACATCATGCCTTCCTTTGGTGGCCGAATTGTGCTTCTCGCAGCTCTGTTCCCATCCAACCACCACTTTCGTTTGTCGCTGCTGGCCGGAGGAAGCCCTTCCTGGATGCTCTCGTATCCCATCAGACTCTCCATGACACTGTCGGTCTCGTCATCGGTTTCCAGGTCATCCAGCCCCTCTGTGGAATCTCCGGCTTTGCTTTTCATTTCTTTCGCCCTCTTCGAATACAGCTTTTTGGTCAAGGTATCCTTCTTCTCCTTGTCTACCACCCGGATCCCCACGTCAAATATGGCGTACACGGGCCTGTGATCGCTGAACCTCAGGCCCATGACGCTGTCATATTCCAATTGCTTCATCTGCGAGCCAAGAACCTCTCCAGCCTGGACCACATTGCGGGTGTGGTTGACCTTCCAGAGAATCCGGTCGGTCCAAGCAGGTATTCGCTGCTTGTCACTCGAGTCGAACTCGTCTTTGCCAATATCGTACTTGTACGTGGGCAGAAATTTTACCCGTCCTTCGCGATAATAGTTGAAGCAATTCCCCACCACCATTTGGATGTTTAGTTGGTCGTTCTCGTAAAGCTTTCCCAATGCGTCTTCCCTGATCTTTTCCGAACCAATCATCGCTTCGTTGACAAGGGCTTTGACTCGCTCGTAACCCAGACCGATTCGATAGTTGAAGTCCCCAGCCCAGACGATGATCTCGTGGTCCTCGATGCTTCGGTTGCGCTGGAACCTCAGGCCAGAGGTAATGGTGTTGTAATCTCGATTTCGCTCCTCATAGTTGGCGAACCCGGCGGCCAAGTGAGCAGTGACAAAACACACAGACGTGCTCTCAATATCCATCCTGATGGCGACGGCACCTTTGTTCCCGGCAATCCCGCTCATGCCCGTTTTCTTGATGGCACCCTCCACATTCTTGATTCGACCCAGAATGCTTGCACGGACAAAGACCATCAATGCAGCTCCCACCAATTGCCCGCTCCTCAAAAGAACATATTCATCGCCTTTTGTGGGTACACCCTCAAACTTCTCGTCGGGGCCATGGCCATTGAGGCAGTTTCGGACTGCTCTTTCCCACAGCATCCGACGATTGGGGTCTGTGCTCATAATTTGCTGCGGGCTCAGCTCGACTATCTCCTGAAACCCAACCACCACGATATCCAGATTTTTTCCGCGGACATCCAGCCAAGGTGTCAAGTCCTCATGAATTCCTGTTGTCTTGCCATTCAGGTTGAATGTTCCCATCCCGAGCCTGAGCTGATCTCGGGACTCAAACTCGGCCCTTCGTCTGACAACTTCTGCAACCACCCAGTCGTTGATAGGGTCGAAGAGGTCGACACTCGTCTGTCCAACCAACCTGCCGAGTAATAGGTCGACAGTGTTTTGCCTGTTCTTGTCCTCGAAGTGATTGACATAGAGGCGAGTAGCACTCTTCCGGGCATCCGCCAGAGCACCCGCCAAACTCATCTTGCCGTGCCTTGTGAATGAACTCTTCAACGCTCCAGTCCCGGCATATATTCTGGACAAAACATCTCCATTGTCGGCCCATAATGCAGAATGACGCATCCAAAAGTCGGAATTGCCTCGTTCATCGCGGTGCGACAGAAACAACTCCAGTGCCATCTGGCTTATTAGGCCCTGGATCAGGTTTGTCCGATCTAAGCAGTCCAGACAATTGACACGGAAGATGCCGTTCTGCTGCATAATGACAATGGGCCTTCGGACAAGCTTCCGTCTCCCCTGCTCGACGGCGACCTCCTCGATCTCCTCTGAGAGAAAGTAAACAAACGACTCTGCGCTTGCGTCCAAATAAGGTCGAATCGCTTTTGCCGCTTCGTACCCAGTAGGTCCACGGGTCCGTTCGTGAAAATCAAATTCCGTCTCGTGGAGCAAATGGTGTTCCTCGACTTCACCTTCCTCATGTCGCCGCAGTGGGCTTCGACCCACATGATAGCGGTACCTCTCTGTCAGTTCGACCTCGCCCGGTTTTGATGCGCTAAGCAAATTCACAATGTGCACTGCACCATACGTTCTCTCCAAGGTTGCGAAATGCTTGTCAAACGCTGGCTGCGTGGCCTCTGGCGAGCGAGTTATCTGGATCTTTTGTTGGCCAGGTATTAAACTACTCGAGCTTTCCCAGAATATCGGTATGCTGCCTCGCACTTGGGTGTATGAGAAGCAGAGGCCAGTGGGAGACCAGAAGACTGTCTCGGTCTCGACAAAATTGGCAACATTACCATCGTCGTCAATGCCTCGAGAATTGAACCGTGTTCCAGCCCTTCTAGACGACAACCTTGAGATGATGGTCAGGGTCGTAGGTGGACCAGGGACAGTTCCCCGGATTGGGGAGGAAGAAGCTGGGATCGGTAGACTTTTGACAAAGCCTCGAATTACAGAAGTGAGGAGGCCAGAACGGTCAAGGGCATTTCGTTCGAGGTCGGTAAGCCTGCTCCTGAATTTAACCAGCGGATCAATCATGTACGAGTTCCAAAGGAGACCTTCGTCGAGACCGGAAATGTCAACGGTGTTTTCTGCCTCGGCACTGGAAGTTGTCAGCTCACTGTTCTTGACGAGTGACGGCAACCTACCGATCCTGTAGCCGTCGTGTAAGATCAAAATCAGCACTGTAGTAGAAGTTTCCGTTGCTTAGGAGCTTCTTCAGCGCGTGAAAGGGATGCTCGGAGACATCGTCTCCTTGAGTGTAATCGACATCGTCCGACTGGAAGACTTGCCCAGGGTACGGGTTAGGATAGGGCCCATGGGCATGGTCGTAGTCTGCACGGTTGAGGCAGTCTGGTCGATCATCAGCACGGCTTCTGTGCAACGGGGCCAGACCGACTTACAAAACTCCACGGCGAAGATCTTCTGAACGGTCTCGCCTGGCCTTACAGTGGCCACCTCTTCCGAGCCTGTGATCACGCAAAGGAAGACATCGTTATTGAGGGTGATAAGGCCCAAGGTGCCCTTTGCGGTAGTGACGGGATGAAAATGCTCGAGGTTGATGAGGGATTTGTCTCCGAACTCGACCATACATCTGGGTGTTACGTTGGACCGACTCGCATTAGCCAGTGGGAGGCTAGTCGAGCTCGAGATTGAGGCTCTGCCACTTTCCGGTGCAGCGTGGGAATGGCGAAATACTAGGACGTGCTCCTCGGTTGCAAGGGCTACTGTCCGATGAGGGTAATCATGGATCAACACCCTGGTTGACATTGTGTCGATGGTCACCGGATGGGGCGCAATCGGTTTCGCATCGCCAGGCTCGTCAGCGGCGTCTATTTGAAGACAGGCCTAGGCCGATGTGAGCACCTCGACCCAGAGACCATTGACTTATTGCGGTATGCAGTCGCGTGCTAGAGATTTGGGAATTGGCGACTCTGGTGAGGCTCCGCGGCATATACCAGTCCGTCTTATAAGCCGCTCGATGATATTGTCTTGTAGGAGATAAGACTTGTCATGGAGATATACCTGGACCAGGTAGAATGGTCGCTTTCTTGGGGGGTTGACAAAATGTCCATGGATCAATGAAAGCTGAAAGATGAGGTTGTCCTGTGCCTGCACGTGACTTTCCGCTTAGTGAGATTTCTCGATACACAACCACCAACGGAACATACAAGACTCGATCCAGCTCGACAGACGTAGCAGACTAGAACAAGAATGGTCTTTGATAGGCTCTATTTTATTCATCATGTTGCTACACAGCCTTTTTATCTCCAAGGCAATGAGCAACATTGCCAGCTAAGCCGACCAACCTGAAATGAAAATGGGTATCATATATGAAACCCCAGGCAAGCAGAACGCCAGATAAAAACCTCAGTATGCAACATGGTGGCAGTGTCCTTGAGCCGATATCCAATCGATATCATGTCCAGTTTATTTCGCCACTCCATCGAGAGCCTTTTGTTCGGCATCAGAGTGCTGACTCCCACATGTATTTTGAACAACACCCGCTAAATCCACATGTTCGTAAGTCGTAACCATGACAAAGGAGATTCATCCACGTGTCGCGTCCCCTGAGGCATGAAAAACCAATCCCGAATTCTCGAGAGGATAAAGCCATGCCTCCTGAAGTGGCCTATGCCAGCAGTTCTCTTGTCCGTCGACCATCAAGGGTTGTCGTAGATTGGAGGGTTTGCCGCAGAAAACCAGAAAGATGTAGTTGGCGTAAAGTGTATCGTACCGAAATCGTCGAGGAATGGACAGTGCCACCCAATTTTCGCCTTGTCGCTGTTTTCTCACGATCACCGTCCGGATCAGACGCTGGTCAATCTACTCCAACCCGTCCTGTCAACATCAAGAGAGCCGCTCACATAACGATGCATGCACTGTCGTCAGTGGCACCGTGCTGAGATTTAGCGGCCACATCAGGCTTTTTATCACCTTTTAAAGGCCGCGATGGCCGACCCCCTGCCCCTCCCAGCATCCAGCCAGCGATGCCTCCGGTCGGTTTCTTCTTCTTGGGGCCTATAGCTCATGGTTAGCACTCAAACATTCTACCGTCAGGTTTCTCGTAGCCCATGTCCCGTACCTTTTCTCTCCTTCTTTGGGTTGATGATTTCATCCAAATTTATAATCGTGTCCTCTAAGATCTCTGGAGGCGGCGGTGGTAGCGGTTCCTCTATTATCTCCTTGGGCTCCGGAATGGGCCACAGCATCATTGTGATATGCATGTCTGGCTCAATGGTGGATTCCCAATAGTTGGGCATGATGATCTCCTTGTCAGGCCCGATCAGGTCGTAACGGCCGGCAGACACATGTTCTGCCAGGTTTTCGATGTGTGCAAATGCTTGGACGATCAGATTTTCCATGTCCTGCCAATAGTCAGCTCTCCATCACCTTGATAATGGTCTAACTAACTTACCCTCCACTTGCAACATCGATCCCAGGGGAAATTGTAGTTGCGCCCGATCGCATCTTTGAATCTAACAGGAGCCTTTTTCTCCGGCCCTCTCGCAGCCGCGGCCTTCTTTTCCGCCTCTTCAGCCTCTGCCTTTGCTTTGGCGGCTGCTTCTTCAGCCTCCTTGAGCTTCGCTTCGGCTTCTTCCTTTAGCCTTTTTGCCTCCTCCCTAGCAGCCGCCGCAGCCTCTGCGGCCTCCTTTTCGATGGCGCTCTTCGCGGCCGCTGCAGCGTCATCTGCAATCTTCTTCTCGGCTGCGGCCTTTTCTGCTCTCGCAGCTGCCTCTTCCGCAGCCGCCTTTAGAGCCGCCTCAGCAGCCTCTTTGCGAATCTGCTGCTCTCTCGCAGCCTGTTCCGCCGCCGCTCGGACCTGCTCCTCGTAAGCCCGAATTGCTTCCTGTCTCGCTTCTTCTCGGATTCGTTTCTCTGCGGCCCTGCGTTCGGCCTCGGCTGCGGCTTCGGCGCGCGCCTTCGCCTCTGCTGCCCGCACAGCTTCCTCTCGAATCCGCCGCTCTTCTTCCATACGTGCAGCTGCGGCTGTGGCTTCTGCTCGGGCCTTTTCAGCTGCCTGAAGCAAAGCCTGTTCTCGAATTCGTTTCTCTTCTTCCGCACGGAGGGCATCTTGCCGTGCTTTCTCTTCGGCTTGACGTATTGCATCTAGTCGAGCCTTCTCTTCGGCTTGGCGAACTTTTTCCTCCGCCTGGACCAGGGCATCCTGTCGTGCCCTCTCATCTTGTCGCGCTTTTTCCTCGGCCTGTCGGGCTTTCTCCTCAGCTTGTCGAACTTTCTCTTCCACCTGCCTCAGTGCCTGAAGACGACTTTCTTGCTCCGCAATTGAGGCTGCTTCCGCATCTTTGGCAAGCTGATCTTCTTTCATCAAATCCTTGAGACGTCTGACAAGGTCATCGTCGTTCTTCGTTTCGAGCTTTTCGGCAGACGCACTTGCGGAAACTGGCTGTGGGGAAGGCGCCATTGGCGGAGCATAGTATGGGTACGGCATTTGTTGAGGGTACTGCATGTAGTGTGGCGGGTACTGCTGGCCACCAAAGGGAGGAGGATATTGAGGAGAATAGTAGCTGGCAGGCGGCGGTGGAGCACCATAGTTGACGATCGTCGCAGGGCCATAAGGGGATGACGTGTATGGAGCGCTGACTTGAGAAGGAGCATGGTGACTGAAGCCTCCTGGGTACGCCGTATGAGGAGGATATGGCACGGGCTGGCTCTGGGGGTAGGTAGGGGGGTATGGCATAGCCATTGGTTGTGGTTGAAGTGCAATCACTTGATTTGCGGGATGTGGCACAGGAGGATATGGGTATGAAGCTGACGAACTGCTGTGAGTATACCCGTTGGGCCCATAGTATGATTGAGGACGAGGCATGTGAGAGCCCAGGTCTGGCCTGGCAAGGAACTCCTCGGTCGAGTCCCCGCTCTCCGTCGGGGATGTGTCTTGCAATGCTCGGGTGCGACTGCGAGCAGGCTCACGAATAGCCTGCTGACGGTGTGCCGCCTGTCGTCTTGCTGAATTGGATCGAGACTCGTATTGTGGTACTCTTTCGTGGTGATCTATTCTCGAGGCGGAATCCGAGCCATCGGGCTCCGGAATTTCGTTCGGATATAGCACTTGGACAAAATCACCGTGGTGTGAGGAGGAGCCGCTCTGACTCTGTGTCGGCTGAATGACTGAATATTGGGGGGAGACGCCCGCTGAGACCTGGACACCGGTTTCGTGGAGCTCGTCGTCTTGCGAGCCGGGGGAAGGAGAGCGAGAGATGTGGGTAATGTCAATGTGTGTATGACTGTGACGACCTGAAGACCTAACAGCAGGAGAGTTAGCTCTGGTGGGCGAAAGTGTCGGTGTAATAACCCACCCCATGAGAGACTGAGTGAGGTCAAGGAATTACCGCGTTCAACCTACCCCAGAGGGAAGGCTGAACGAGATAGCCTTGAGGGTTATGTTAGTGTCAAGGGATGTGCTAACCGGACCAAAGAGGGCTGACTTCAGGCAGTAGGACCGTCCAAATGGGCCAGATCCAGTGTATGATATTTTTTTTTTGAAACCAGTATCCTTCAGCGCCAAATGTGGTGGAAGAAATTCAAAAGGGCCTGGCAGAGGGGCGTGATGACCTCCTGCAGGTGTGCCACCGGTAGCGTCTCGCTGTCGTGAAGGGGCGTCGTGGGAATTCCCGACAAGGTGGATCCGAGGCCGTGGGGAGGGAAGGGTCGAAGGGTCGGGCCAGAGGCAGAACAGGTTGCATATGCGAGGAGCCGAAGGGGGGGATGTCGATCAGGCGACGGAGAGGGAAAGAGAATTACAACGTAGTTCAATGGCAGAAATGCAAGGTGGCGACGGGTATGAATGTGGTGGAAGTTTGTGAATGTCGAGAGAGGAAAAGGAGGAGGAGGAGCAGGTTGGCAAGGTGACAATTGTACGGGTAGCGAGATGAGACGGTGAGTATGGCTGCCCAGATTGCAAATGTGTGTGAGGCGCGTGGACAGGTTGTTGACGCCAATGTGGTTGTTTGGCGTGATTGTGTGTTGACTTTTGACGGGGGGATCAAGATTCTGGATGCTGGGATCCGGCCAAGGAGTCGAGATGGCCAAAAAAAGGGGGCGCGGGGGGTAAATGAAATTGGTGACTGATGCCCAATTGCTCACCCACTCAATGGAATTCCCCCTAATTCGCCGGGTGCAGGCGCTCTGCGGGCGCTGCGGGCAATGGGTAGTGGGCAGTGGGCAGCAGACAGTAGGCTGCGGGCTGCGGGCTGTGGGCGCAGTCTATTTGGTAGTAGTGGGGCTTAGCGGCCTGGGTGCCCAGTCTGACTCCTCCCTTGCCCTCTGTCTTCCAGGCCACCAATTCTTTTGCTGCAAGGCACCAACCCACGTCAATGAGAGGAAAATCTTGTCCCCAGTATGCAAGTATGCAAGAATGAATATTCAATCCACGCTTCAGTCAACGCACGTCAGTCCACTGAGGGTCTGGGACGGTGTTGTCGTGGTTGCTAGTTGATGGTGTGTGTCAACAAGAGGCCTCTCTGACCACCAGCACCACCACCACCTTTTGCAATGAATGAAGGTGTGTGTCTCCCCAGGACAACTTGGCCCTTGGTGACGCTGACCCTTGCCCAGAGGTTAGGTCCAAATAGACCTCGAAACGGTTATATCAATTCCACCCAAAGTCTTGTACAGACAGTCGTTTCATACAATTTCTTTTTTTTGTTCCCCGTTTATCGTGAACTTTTTGGTGCGGTTTTTCGCCCCGGAGGGACTGATTCCGCAGGATCGAACCGCTGGGCCCGTCGATGGATACAGCGGTGCAAAGGGAAGACTAGAAAAGATTGAGCCTCCCGCAAGAATCTGAAAAGGGAGAATGCAAGATGTGAGTTGGCGACAGGAGAGCGTCGCCACAACAACCCGCAGCTTGTCCAAAAGGTACTCAGGTGACGCAGTGTGGTACAGAAAATTCTCTCCTGGTTGCAAGCGATCTGTAAGGGATTGGATCTAGTAGTGTTAAGCGCTTCTTGCGCGCTGTCTTTCTTCGATCGCGATTGGATTTGTGATTCTGAGACATTGAGGGCTCCGTGGAAGGAGACGTCAAAGGAGCAGTGAGCCTGGTATTATTAATGGCAAAAATGGGAGTGACAAAAGTGCACGCAAATCGTATGCAATGGGTCTACATTTGGGTTGATATCAAGAAAGATGGCCCTCCACCCCTCCCCTTGACCGGTCATGGCATTCTCAGTCTATATATCAGAAACCGAAACAACCCGGTTTCAAGATTGCCACCGGGACACCCAACTCTCCGTAACGCAGGGCGGATTAGCCTGATATTCACCCTCGCCTTGGGTGTCGGAGGACTGATGATACCCGTTCCATTTGGTGCTTCTCCCAACAAAAACCTCAACTCGGGTGCGGCCTGAAGGTGGGATTCTTGACTTGACCTCGTGGTTGTTAGTTTGTCGGAAAGACGAGGCTCCAGTGACTCTAAATTAGACGTGATGGGCAGAAACGACCCACGGCCGCTGACGGGGTAAGAGCCTCATTCGCTGGTGGTTGGGTGTCGCGACAATCGAGGCATCCTCAGAAACGCTGCCACGTTGGCTTGCGCCGAAATGCTGCCCAACTTTCCACCTTCCAGCAGCACGCTAGTGGAAACGCCTGCATCTGACATGATCTTCGCCAAACCATGGTTTCTGCCACGGTCCATTCGGTTCTCTGCAGGAACTTTCGCCTGGTCCACCTCTGGTGCCAAAAGGCACTGACGACCGTACGCAGATGGCTTTTTCAATGCGCTTTCATTCGGAGTAACGACATGACTTGGGCTGCTTTCTGGTTCGATGCCCCAGGAAATTTGCGGAATGTTTCAGCCTTTAGATCTGTTCAACAATTCCTGGGCTGCAATGAGTTCGGACTGATCGGTCCCGGAGGATCGTCGGCCGCTGCGGTCCTTGACAATAGCTTGCAGTCTTGACGTGGCCAGCTGATTTAATTTCTGCGCCTTGTCTGGGGTGATCGACGAGCTGGTGTTCCCCCGAGACGTCGTGTTCGTCAGCAAAACCTTGTCCGTGGCCAGCTTTAGCCCGTAAAACCCACGCAGATAGTCGTCGCAAAGTTCAATGCTTCGACTGAATCGTCGGATTGCCTGTGACAGGTGTTTGTCGACTTCGGAACTCTCCGTTGACGACATGGCAGCTAGATATTCGAGCTCTCCTAGTCGTGCATGAAGGTTCCATGCAGTGGGTGCAATGATTACAGTTTCCTCGAGGCAAAAGATAGCTTGTGGCAGGCAACCCTGTGAGTGATAGAGGTCGCTCAATTCACACCAAGCTTCCATGTCGGTGGGAAAGGAATCCACGAATTCCACCAGGTCTTTGATAGCATCTTGCGGCCTTCCCAAGCTTCTCATGAGCGCTATCCGTCGTTTGTGAATGGGGACATTCATGGGGTTCTCCATGAGTATTTTGGCATAGTCTTCTAATATCTTTCGCAGTGCTGCTTCATCTGGTGCCGTGGCTTCCTGATAAAGCCCTCTCAAAGCCATAACTCTTTCATTGGTTGAACCGAATCTCTGACTTAATCGTTCCACACATAGAAAGGCGGACTTATCGTCCCCGGTTCGTAGGCACGCATAGAGGAGTTGTTCAAGCTCTTCCCATAGTTCAACAGAATCCGCCGTGTTGAACATTGATGCAGGAAAGGTCGTACTGATCGATGACGACTTTGCAAGGATCGAGGAAGCCTGCTGTGCCATGCGGAGAGCGGAGGCAGGATCGGAAGAAGGGGTTCGACTCGCGACTGTCGCCATTGCTGCCTGATTCTATGACAGATTCGACCAGGGCTGGGCTTGGAGGAGGATATAGACTGTGCAAGACTAAATAGGTTTTTCGAGGAATCACTAAAGGATTCGTACTGTGTAAGGAGTGGACAAAATGAGGCTGTCAATGGATCACAGGGTAAATTGGAGAACACACTGGACAGGCTCAAGTCTGGAGAGCCACTGCAAAGTCAGGTAGTAGCTCCTCGTTTATCACATTCGCTTTCAAGACGCAAGTGAGCGCCCAGGGCGCCTTGTAAAGCCGTCGAGCGGTTCACGCCGTTTCTTCGGAATAATTGGCCTTGGCATTAAGGCGGAGCATTTGACACCACACGAAGAGGTCCTCAGCGTCGTTGCATCTCATCACATCATCGTCTCTCTCCCGTGGCCTTTTAAAAGCGTTTCGGTCACAGGCGAAATCAAAGCGCGAATGTTTGGGGCGTGTGCTGGATCCTGAGGGCTCGGGGCAGCGGCGCATCACAAGGGCATCTTCATTTTCTATTCGCTCGAAGAAAGGACAACCCGAATCACAACCTCAACATCGGTGTCGCGTGAGAAATGAGGGTCCGCCAGATTCCAGGGGTAACACCGGCCGTTCAGCTCTCATGACATGCTGATAAGAACCTTTCAATATGTTTGAAAAGTCACTGGTCGACCTCATCCGAGGCCTGCGAGGCCACAAGGGAAATGAGGCGGAATACATTCAAGCCGCGCTCAAAGAATGTCGAAGCGAGATTCGTTCCCAGGACCTGGACCTCAAGGCCACCGCATTGCTCAAGCTCATTTACCTGGAAATGTTTGGATATGACATGACCTGGGCCGCCTTTAACGTCTTGGAAGTCATGGCCTCCCCGAAACCGGCGCAGAAACGAGTTGGCTATCTCGCTGCTGTCCAGAGCTTCCGACCCGAGACAGAGGTTTTGATGTTGGCTGAGAATCTACTTAAAAAGGATCTCACCTCTCCTTCAATACCAGTCCTAACCCTGCCGTTGGTCACCCTTCCGCACATTGTGACTTCGTCCCTGGCACTCTCCATTCTCACGGAGCTTCTGCCACGATTGTCCCATTCACAACCAGCTGTGCGGAAGAAGACCATCGTCACGCTGTACAGGCTAGCCCTGGTGTATCCTGAAACGCTGCGAGTCGCTTGGCCAAAGATCAAGGAACGTTTACTAGATGAACAGGAAGACAGCAGCGTTACTGCCGCTACGGTCAACGTCGTATGTGAGCTCGGATGGCGGAGACCCCAGGATTTTCTGCCTTTGGCACCCAGGCTATTCGACCTTCTACTGGCCCAGAAGAACAACTGGATGGGTATCAAGATCATCAAACTGTTCGCAGTCCTGACTCCTCTCGAACCAAGATTGGTTAAGAAGCTAGTCCGACCCCTCACCAAACTGATTCAAGAGACAACGGCAATGTCGTTACTTTACGAATGCATCAGCGGAATTATTCAAGGAGGAATCCTGGATGGCGGTGAAAGCGGCGTCGACGTGGAAGAAGTGGCCGATCTTTGCATTTCCAAACTAAGGGGAATGATCGTGTTGGACGGAGATCCTAAT